CTTTCCTGTTTTATTCTATTTTGGAGAATTGACATCTTTACAATGTTAGGTCTTCCAATCCATGAGCATGGTATAGCTCTCCGTTTATGTAGATTATATTTGATTTCTATAATCAGCATTTTGTAGTTCTCAGCATACAAGTCCTGCATACATTTGTATGCCTTTTAGTTCCTTTTTGTGCCTTATTGCACTGGCCAAAACTTCTAGCATTATGTTGAATAAGAATGGGGAGAGCAGACATATTTCTCTGTTCCTTTTTTTTTTTAATTTTTTTTTTATGATAGTCACAGAGAGAGAGAGAGAGAGGCAGAGACACAGGCAGAGGGAGAAGCAGGCTCCATGCACCGGGAGCCCGATATGGGATTTGATCCCGAGTCTCCAGGATCACGCCCTGAGCCACAGGCAGGCGCCAAACCTCTGCGCCACCCAGGGATCCCCCTATTTCTCTGTTCCTAATCCTAGGGAAAAAGCATTCAGTTTTTAACTGTTAAATGTAAAATCAACTGTAAGTTTTTCTGTTTTTTTTTTTTTTTTGTAGATGCCCTTTATCATACTGAGGCAGTTCCTCTATTCCTACTTTTCTGAGGGGTTCTATCATGCATGGGTATTGAATTTTGTAAAATACTTTTTCTGCATATGATAATGTGATTTTTTTCTTTAGCCTGTAATATGGTGGATTATATTGATTGACTTTTTTTTATTGATTGACTTTTGAATTTTGAAACAGCTTGAGAGTAAACAGGAATAAACTCCATCTAGTCATCATGTATAATTATCTTTATATTTTCCTTAGTTCTATTTGTTAATATTTCATTAAGGATTCTGGTATCTATATTCATGAGGTCTTTTGGTCTGTAATTTCCACCTTTTTTGAAGTGTCTTTGTTTGGTATTGGTATGAGGGCAATACAAGATTTAGAAATGAATTAGGAAGTAATTCTATCTCTTCCATTTTCTAGAAGAGATTTATGTAAGTGGTATTGTTTCTTTTGTAGAGAATTGATACATTTTGGTACCATTGGTACAAATTATGCAATCTAAGTCTAGAGATTTCTTTCATGGATTTCTTTTCAAATAACACTTTTGCTGAGATATATAATTCATATACCATAAAATTCACCACTTTAAAGTATAAAGTTAATGACTCTTGTATGTTCACAGGGTTGTGTGGCCATCAGCATTATCTAATTTTTGAAGATTTTTGTCAAGCAAAAAAGAAACCCTGTGTCCATTAGCAGTCATTCCTCATTCTTCCATCCACTAGCCCTTGGTAACCACTAATACATTTATGTCTCTATTAATCTATTCCAGACATTTCCTATAAATGGAATCATATAATATGTGGACTTTTGTGTTTCTAAGGTCCATCCATGTTGTAGCAAGTATCAGTATCTCATTGCTTTGATTATCAAATATGATTTCATTAAGCGGATATGCCCTGATGAAAATTTAGGTTGTTTCAACTTTTTTACATTATGAATCATGCTACTATGACCAATATGTACAAGTTTTTGTGGGGAATATGTTTTTAGTTCCCTTAGGTATATGCCTAGGAATAGAATTGCTAGATCATATGGTAACTTTGTGTGTAACCTTTTGAGTTGCTGCCAGACTGATTTCCACAGTGGCTGCAGCACCCTATATCCTACCAGGAGTGCACAAGCATTCTAAATCCTCCACGGTCTCATCAACACTTGTTATCATCTGTCTTTTTAATTTTAAGCATCCTAGTAAAATTAAAATTTAATTTTAAAACATCCATTTATTCATTCATGATATAAGTGATTTCTATTATTTTCTTTACAGTGTTTTATTAGTTTCAGGTGTACAATATAGTAAGTTAAGAGTCTGTTTCCTGGTTTGTCTTTCTGTTTCTTTTTTTTTTTAATTTGCTCATTTGTTTTGTTTTTTTAAATTCTACATACGGATGAAATAATATGGTATTTGTCTTCTTGGACTGGCTTATTTCACTTAGCTTAATACTCTCTATCTGTGTTGTTGCAAATGGAGAGATTTTATTCTTTTTTATAGCTGGATAGTATTCCATTGTGTGTGTGTATGTGTGTGTGCATTGCATGTGTATAATCTTTATCATTCATCCCTCAGTGGACACTTGGGCTGTTTCCATATCTTGGCTATTGTAAATACTGCTGCTATAGACATTGGAGTGCATGTATCCCTTTGGAATAGTGTTCTTATATTTTGGGGGTAAATACCTAGTAGTGCAATTGCTGGATTGTAGGGTAGTTCTATTTTTAACTTTTTGAGGAACCTCCATGCTCTTTCCCACAGTGGCTGCACCAGTTTGCGTTCCTACCAACAGTGCATGAGTGCTCCTTTTATTCAACATCATCAACAGCACCTGTTGTTTCCTGTTAAAATTTATTTTTTTAAAAAAGATTTTATTTATTCACTCATGAGAGAGAGAGACACACACACACACACACACAGAGAGAGAGAGAGAGAGAGAGAGAGAGAGAGAGGCAGAGACACAGGCAGAGGGAGAAGTAGGCTCCAAGCAGGGAGCCCGACGTGGGACTCGATCCCGGTCTCCAGGATCAGGCCCTGGGCTGAAGGTGCCGCTAAACCACTGAGCCACCGGGCTGTCCTTAAAATTTAATTTTAAATTTAACCAAACAACCATGAAGTGAAGTGGTGTTTCATTTTGGCTTTGATTTGCATTTTCTCTAATGACTTATGATATTGAGCATCTTTTATGTGCTTATTGCACCACTTATATGTCTTCTTTGGAGAAATGTATATTCAGATTCTCTTCCTATTTTAAAATTGGTTAATTTGTCATTTTTTTATTGATCTGTAATTTTTCTCTATATATTATGATGCTAGACCCTTATCAGATATATGATTTGTAAATATTGTGTCATATTCTGTGGGTTATCTTTTCACTTTCTTGATGGTGTCACTTGAAGTACAAATGATTTTTATATTGATGAAGTCTCATATTTCTATTTTTTTAAAAAGATTTTATTTATTTATTCATAGACACAGAGAGAGAGGGAGAGAGAGAGCGAGAGGCAGAGACACAGGCAGAGGGAGAAGCAGACTCCATGCAGGGAGCCCGATGTGGGACTCAATCCCACATCTCCAGGATCAGGCCCTGGGCTGAAGGCGGTGCTAAACCGCTGAGCCATCCGGGCTGCCCTCATATTTCTATGAGGCATATTCTATGCCCTCATATTTATTTTCATCATTGTGCTTTTGGTGTTATAGCTAAGAATTCATTACCTAATCCAAAGTCATGAAGCTTCACTTCTGTATTTTCTTTTTAGGAGTTTTCTAGTTATTGTTCTTGTCTTTAGGTCTGTGAGTATTTTTCAGCCTCCTCCTCTTTGTCCTGTATTCTGCTATTCTGAGGACATGAATGTTAGATCTTTTGTTAATAGTCCCACAGGTTGTTGAGATTTTCTTGTTTGTTTTAGTTTTTAAATCCAGTTTCTCTCTGCTTATCAGACTAGGTAACTGCTCTTGTTCCCTTTTACTGTTCACTGATTTTTCCCCCCTTCTCCTCCGTTCTGATGCTGTGCCTTTCCATTTAGATTTTTATTTTGATTATTGTGGTTTTCAGTTCTAAGTTTTCCATTTGGTTCTTCTTTATATCTTCTACTTGTCTGCTGATACTATTTCTTTGTTGAGACTTTCTATTTTTGAGTGTGTTTCAACTGTGTACATAATTGCTCTTTAAAGCATTTTTATGATAGCTGCTTTAAAGTCTTTGTCTGATACTTTTCTCATCTCTGTCATCTTAGTGTTGGCAATATGCACCAGTCAGGGTTCTCCATAAATACAGAACCAGTAAGATGTGTATATATGTGTGTGCATACATAGATATGTATGAAGAGAGAGACTGACCAATTGATTAATAGAAATTGGCTCTTGTGATTATGGAGGTTGGTAAATCTAAATCTGCAGTTCAGGCTGGCAGGTTCAAGACCCGGGAGAGATGGTGTTATGGTTCCAGTCTGAAAGCCAGCAGGTGGAGACCCAACAGAGTCAATGGTGCAGATGAAGTCTGAAGGCAGTCTACTAGAGAATTTCCTTTTACTTGGAGGGGAGTTTTTTTTTTTTCTCTTTAGACTTTCAACTGATTGAATGAGGTCTACCACCTTATGGAAGGCAATCTGCTTTACTCTATCAATTAAGATGCTAATATCATCTAAAAACACATTTACAGAACCGCCCAGAATAATATTTGACCAAATATCTGGAGACCCCATGGCCCAGTCAAGTTGACACATAAAATTAACCATCATGGCATCTATTGATTATCTTTTTTCATTCAGTTTGTGGTTTTCCTGGTTCTTGGCATAGCAAATGAGTTTCAGTTAAAAATTGGACACTTGGTATCATATCATGAGACCCAGGCTATATAAAAGTCAAAAGATCTGGGAGATGCCCTTCCTTGCATTCTGTTTTTGGATCATACATGAGTGCTGGCTTCTGGCTTAAGCCAGGCACATGGTAAGAACTGTTCCTGGGGAACTTGTAGGCTTGCTCTTGATATGGGGGAAATATGGCATAGGGCTCACTGCCTCTGAGCTATGGAAGCTACTATAGACAGATTAGATTTGGGCCTGGGGCCTGTGGGCCCCATTCAAGAGAAATGTCTTTAGAGCTGACTGGTATGTCCAGTAGCCTGGGAAGAATGAGGAAGGTATCTAAGCGGAGGCCAGGCATGCAGCCTTCCAGGTATCTTGGAAGTCTTTGGCTCCCTGGAACAATTCCTTAGCTTTTTAGCTTTGTTGGGCAGTGACTAGGAGTGCTAATTGTCCTTGGTTCTTTGAGAGCTCCAAGACAGCTCCAAAAAAAGCTCTGTGGGGCAAGAGCAGGCAGATCTCATGTGGGCCCTACCTGGACCCCCCAATACCTGAATTCTCCCTGCCTAGGCCCTGCCAAGTGTTTGAGGAGGGGTCAAGGGCACATCTACAGCCCAGGCTATGTGTCTTGTCCACCTGTTTTTCCTCATCTCCTTTTTGCTTGCAGACAAATGATGCAGCTGGCAACACTTGGAACTGGCTCTACTTCATCCCTCTCATCATCATTGGCTCCTTCTTCATGCTCAACCTGGTGCTGGGTGTGCTCTCAGGGTAAGAGGCCCTGTGGGCTTGTGTGCTGCCTGCCTGCCCCTCTGTGTTCTCAGGCTAAGGGGACAGGTGGTAGAGTCAGACATGGGCATGTGTGATGTCAGGGCCTGGCCTGGCCTCATGGCCACCCTTTGTGGTGGCCACTCCCACTATCCTGAGCTCTGGCCAGCCTTTCCTCTGTGCTACTATGCTGACTCTCTCTTGGACTCCTTACCTCCATCTCACCCTTGGCCTTCACCTTGGCCCCTGATGATGGTGGAGGGGCTGCTCCTGGATCTCACTGGGGTCCATGGTGTGGTTTGCTGGCAGCCCTGGTGCCTAGAGGATCCTCCCTGGTAGAGTGGAGAGTGGGGAGCAGCCCTATATCCTGTCTATAGTGGTCACTGGGATCCCTGTGGTCACTTTGGCCCCTGGTTTGCTCCTCCTCTCCAGATACCTTTCTGTGCTGAGCTCCTACAGGAGAGAACCAGAGAGGGTGAGGGGTTGGGATTCCTTCCTGAAGGGAGGTGGTTCCTGACCCCACAGTGGGGCCACTGGCTACAGACATGCTGGTGCTTAGGGGCACATGGGGCTGGTGTTTGGGGATTCCCCCACTTCCACCAGTCTGGGGAAGCTGTGTAGGGAAGGCTTGGTCTGTGCTCTGTCACCACCTTGGTATCATACTCCCTGTAAGGCTGGAGAAGAATATCTCCATCCTGCCCACCCTGAAGATTCCTGCTCAGGTCCAGGGCTTCTGAGGTAGGCTCGGGGAGAGCCTGGTAGATCCACGGGGCCTAGAAAGGAACAGCCATTGAGAGGACAATGGTTGGAGGCCAAGGCCTGCTTGCTTTGACTCTGGAATGTGTCCTTAGCCTCCATCCTGTCCTGTAAGGGGTATGTCACTGGCATGTCTTTCCGAGCACCTCCATAGGGACAGGCAAACCCACAGCCCAGTGGATGCATGTAGAACTTCTCGTCTGATGGAATTCCATGATTTGAGCTGCACAGGGAATCCAGAGGAGGCCTGGGGCTCAGAGAATGCCCAGGAAAGGGCATTTACATTGAGACCCAAAGGGAGACCAGCAGTGAATGTAGCAAAGGAGGGGAAAGGGTGTCCCAGGCAGAGAAGAGCTGGAGTAGAGGCTCTGGGCTACCCAGAAGGACACATTGTGTGCTGCAAGGGTGCTTAGAGCTGGAACCAGAAGGTGTGGAGGGGAGAGGGTGCTGGGGCTGGCAGACGGCAGTCTTGTGTGGAGCGTGGGCTCTGTGCTGAGGACAGTGCACAGTGGGGAGGTGGTAGGAACATGAGTGGGTTCATGGTGAGTTGGGAGAGCAGCCTGCTTGGGGTGGCTTTGTGCGGCTTACCCTGAAGAATGTGCAGAAAGGACTGAGGGGTTGAGGCTGTGTGGCTCCTCACTGAGGAGGGCCATGAACTTTGTGGCTTCCCAGCCTCTTCCCACCTGTGAGCATCCTGGCCTCTGAGGATGGGGTGATGTGGGATGGTTTTCCCAATTAGTCTCAGCTGAGCCCTCCCTTGGCCATCCAGGCCCAGCAGAGGGACTCCTGGATTCTCCTTCAGGTGTGGGCAGGCTTGGGCACGGCAAGGCCCCTAGTCAGTGCCTTGCCTGTGGGCCCCATGCCGGCTGCACTCCAGGCTGCAGTAATTAGACTCGGCCTCTAGAACCAGACTCGGGGAAAGCTTACCGTGCAGGCTCGGTCCAGCCATGGCTCTGCGGACTCTGGGCAGGAGCTCCTGGGAGGGCTGGGAGGGCACAAGCCCTGTGCTCCTTCATGCCACAGGCTGTCATCCCCAAAGCATCTGGGAGGAGCAGGGTCAGTAATTTCTCCTGTGGCTTTTCCTAGCAGTGAGGACTGAGGCCCAGGGAGGACAGGCTGTTGGCTGCCATGTAAGAAGTGGCTGCTCTGTGCAAGGGAGAGATGGCTGCAGCGTTTTTTTGCTGGGGGCTCTCAGACAGACTCAAGCGGTGTCCCTGTGCTACCCCTGCACCCCTGGCCCACCTGCCCTCATCAGGCTAAGGCAGAGAGCCTGGACAGAGGGGAGGAGCCCTGTGTCACCGCAGATTTGGGGCTTGGGAGGGATGGGAGGTCCAGGCAGGAGCTGGCTCCTCTCATTGCCAGGGTTGCCATAGCTCGGGCCCTGGTAGACACTGGTCATGGGCTTGGGTCAGTGCTGGCCAGAGCCAAGCTCTCTCTTTCTTGCCGCGGCTGTGTGGCCTGCTGGGCTCTAAGCCCAGAAGCTGCCTCTTCTGGAGGAGAAATAGTCATTCAGCTGAGAACATACATCACTGCTTTGGAGTGGGGTGTGCCCATCTGTCCTTTGGGGACCTGGTCTTGTCCCAAGCCTGGGCTGAGAGGCTTGCCATGCTGGACACAGGGTGCATGTGTGCATGGGTACTGGGGTGTTCTCATGTGCCTGTAGGAGCCTACAGGCTGGGCTGGGAGGCTGGGCTGGGGTGCTGAGGACGAAGGTGGGCAGAGATCTCTCTCCTGGTCACTGTGAGCCTTGCAGCTTTGGCTGAGGTGGCTGCAGGGGCTCTGGAATGTTTTCCTTCCATGCCTGGCTGACCCCCATCCAGTCCCTTCTGGCTCCATTCCTGTCAGCCTTTCCCCTCCCAGCAAGGGCTCCGGGTCTGAACCAGCAGAAGAAGCAAAGTGCCAGTCCTCTGGGCAGTTCTCGCACAGAAGTTCTCTGTGGGATGGCCAATGGCAGGACCTAGCCTCGGAGGGTGTGCCCTTGGCCTGTCCTTGTCCCTGGCACCCGCTCTGGGGCCTGAAGTGCTGTCCTTGTGCGGGAGGATATGAGGAAGGAGGGGTCAGGTTGGCAGAGGCTGTGGTGATGTGGCCTCCTGGCCCCGTCTGCCTCTGTGTCGTGGGGCTGGTGGCTGGCTCACTACTCACCTGATTTGCTTACTTTTCCGACCCCTGCACAATGCAGAGAGTTTGCCAAGGAGCGTGAGAGGGTGGAGAACCGCCGGGCATTCCTGAAGCTCCGCCGCCAGCAGCAGATCGAGCGGGAGCTCAACGGGTACCTGGAGTGGATCTTCAAAGCCGGTGAGCACCAAGGGCTGCTGCTATGCTTGTGGCCCCCCCCAACTGTCAGGGCCCTGGGGAGGGTGACGCCAGAGTAGGGGAGGGGTGCTGAGACGTCTGAGGTGTGTTCTTATGTGGCTCTGGGGACGCTGGCCTTTGTAATGGAGGCTTCTGGCCTGGCCCAGCCAAGGGCTAGTTTCTGCCTGTCAGACTCCAGTGCCCTGCCCTTGACGTGAGCCTGCCCTGTGCTCCATGCCCTGGGGTTCTGTCTAACCCCTCACCCCCGCCCCAGACCAGCATTCCTTCCTCCATATGGGGCACCTGCTGTGTTTTGTCACCTAGTGGGGTGGCTGCTCTTGGGGGTGGGGGGTGATGGGAACACGGAAATAGGCCAGGCCCCCCTCAGGGCACTGTCTGCGGGATATGTAGAGGGTGTCTGTCCTAGTAGGAGACGCTCTGCCATGAGCCCCACAGGCTGCTGGAGCTATTAGGGCTGAGAAGGTGAGATCCTGCAGCAGAGGGGCACCTTCATCTTTGTGTGTTTCTGGGTAGCGGGCCCTGGTTGGGGGTAGGGACGGGAAGGCTCCAACCTGAGGCTATGTGTCACTCGCAGAGGAAGTCATGCTGGCCGAGGAGGACAAGAATGCGGAGGAGAAGTCCCCCCTGGATGGTAGGTGACCACTGTCAATGCTGTTAGCAAGATGTGTGTGCATGCTTGCACGGACGATGCATGATGCTCTTGCTGCCATCTGTCACATCATGCACAGTCCTGGGTGGAGCCCTATCTGGAGGTCAGTGCGTGCTCCTGGGGGCTTGTGTGCAATGGACCAGAGTGCATGCAGCTGCTGGGGGGCTCAGACACCTGCAAAGTGTCAGCCTGGGACCCAGAGGAGCCCGTGCCCACAGTATGGTCCCGAGAGCTGTGTTGTCCAGTGTACTTGTAAGTGCGCTGCAGTCACATACAAGTGAAAGTCCTGTTCCTCGGGCTTACCCACCACATTTCAAGCGTCCCATAGCCAGATGGGGCTCGAGGCTACTATGTTGGTCACTATAGATGTAAATCATTTCCATCATTGTAGAAAGTTCTGTTGGGCGCTGCAGCTTCTAGAAGCTTTCCATCAGGTTTAAGCCAAGCTGCATCTGTCTACAGGGCTCAGGATGATAGGGCTTCCATGCAGCCCTGAAAGGACTCCTGGCAGTCTGGGGCCACTGAGACCAGGGCGGCCAGTGTGGCCATAGTCACCAGTCAGGCTACTAGCACAGCCTCAGTGGCGGGAAGGCTGTCCTCTTTTTACATTGATGCAGAGGCCAGAGAGGTTGGCCATGTCTGCCATTGCCTCTGTAGAACCTGCAGCTGGAGCTTTAACTGGTCTGCGCTGGCCCCTCCACAGGCCTGACTGGTCCCTGCTCCCACCTGGCCTTGCCGTGTGGGCTGCTGGATGACTGGCTGCAGCTCTGTCCTTGGCCTGATCTCCCTGGGAGCTGGGGCTTCCCGCTGGCAGCGGTGTGGAGAAAGGGAAGGTGGGATTCTGTGGCAAATCCCTGTCCCTTTTGCTCTAAAGACCCAGAGGGGCTCCTAGGGGCCAGGATGGGGGACCCCGGAAGACAGATACACCCTCAGCTCAAGGACAGCCCAGCCCTGAGGGGGTCACCTTGTACTGGCTCATGCCGTCCCCTCTCCCCACCGTTGTTTAAAGCAGTGTTGAAGAGAGCAGCCACGAAGAAGAGCCGGAATGACCTGATCCATGCCGAGGAGGGAGAGGACCGGTTTCCTGACCTCTGTGCAGTTGGTGAGTCTCTGAGTCTTTCTAGCTGGGTGGTGTCTGTCCGGATGGGGTATAGAGGATGCACCTGGCTTCCTGCCTGTTCCCTGGACTCCCCAGCCCTCAGGGTCCCTCCTTGCCTTCCTCCTGCATCCAGGCTCCTGGCAGCAGGGAGAGCACCCTCTGCCCTGCTGTGTGTGTCCCACTGTCCTTCCCGCAGCCAGTGAGGGAGAGTATGTACAGCTCCTAGAAGTTCCCCTGCCCACTGCTGCTGCCCCTGGCTATGCCACCCTTGTGTGGACACTGAGCCTTGGGCCGCATGCACCCCTCCATGGGGACCGAAAGGTTCTCCCAGCCCCTGCCTGCCATCCGTGCTCCTGGGCCTCTGGCTCCGTCCGCATCTCTAACAGTGGAAGAACAACTGTGGTTATTTTCATCACTCGGAGCTGCTTTGATTTCCATCCCGTGGCTGGTATGCCAAGCCTTTCCCACCAAGCACCCTGTTACTACATGTTCCGGGGGTCTCTGCCTCAGCAGTTGGAGAAGGGTGTGCGTGGCAGGGAGCAGCTCACTGAGGCACTGGGTCATTCACTGTGCAGCTGGTGTTGGTCTCCAGCAGTGAGTGCACCACGGTCAAGGTCTGCTCTCCTGGCATGATCACACTTACGAGCACATTTACTTGTGTGTCTATCAATCTATCCATGTCCTGTGTCTCTTTCCATCTACCAATCTATGTATCACTTATCATCAATCATCTATCAATCTATGTATCTATTGATTCATCACCTGCCAGTCATCATCTATCTATCTCCCTCTTTTTTTTTTCTCATTCAGGCCCACTGAGCACCTGTCAGTAGCTTGGGATCTACCCATTTCTCACATAAATGCACACATGCACGTGCGCATACACGCATGTAGAGTTCTGAGACCTTTGCATGTTACAGAAGTGTTTTCACACGGATTCTCAGTACGAGCTGCAGACCACACCCCCAGAAGCCTGACTGTCATTCGACCTCAGCAGCGGCTGCATGGTGCTCTGTGGGGTCACTATAGATCGTTGGGCTGCTCTCTGTCCGTGGCCATTAATTTATTTTTAGATTGTTTTATCTTCATCGTGAAAACTGAACCCTGTAAGCACCTGCGCTTCCTTCCAAGGGCTTCTGTCCCTGCAGTGGCTCCTCACTCCTAGCATGCCCCCTCCAGTCCGTGCCAGAGCCATGTGTGATGTCTGCTGGCTTGACGCCACTTTGATGATGATAAAACGATGTTTCTTTAGGACTGCCGTTCTCATTTCACTCACTACCAGTGATTTGTGAGTCTCTTTTTAAACGTCAATTTTCCCATTTGAATCTGGGTTTCGGTGATTCTTTGTATATCCTGTCCATTTTTCTTTCGGGCGGTTTGTGTTTGCTAATTAATAAGAGGCTAATGTGTGTGGTGGATCGGACTTTTGTTGCAATTTTTACAGATTTATCACGTAGTTATATTTAAATACCGAGTTTACCTAGTTTTTATTCTGATTTTGTAGCAATAATTGGAATGATTTTTTAAAAAGTCTTTTTCTATGGCTTAGAATAATTTAATAACATCTAGCCAATCTGTTCTTCAGAGGTGAGATAAAACTGTGAACCCAAAATTAAAAGAAACTTGGACCAGTGTTATAAATCATGCTTTGTGAGGAAATCTTCCATTTTTTCAGCGTTTCACACTCATTTCTGTAGAGTCACCTGCACTTTTCTCATCATTCTCTTCATCTGTCCTGTGTTCAGCTGTCACCGTGTGTTCATTCATTCTCACCGTGTGTTCATGGTGTGTGGGTCGCTGTTCCCGATGCTGGGGCGACAGCATTGACCAGGACGACAGCGCCCCTTCCTCTCATGGTTTTTCCTCCAGGGTGCCATCAGATCACAAGCAAAATAACAGGAAACGTATGCAGCGCATCACCCCCGGAAAAGGGCAGAGTTGAGAAGGGCTGGGAGGGCTAAGGGGCTTGGGCGTTTAATGAGAAAGGCCTCGGAAGGACCCTCGGGGACAGTTAGGGTCCTTGCCTCTGGGTCAAGCTGAAGGAAGCGAGGAAGTCAGAACATTCCGGCAACAAGCAGGAGGGAGCAGCACAGGTGGAGACCGTCAGAGAGGCCCGTGTGGCTGGAAAGGCTGGGGGCTCAGTGCCACGGGGATGAGGTCATGGGAGGTGAGGGCCACTGGAGGGTGTGTGGAGGGGAGACGCTGCGGGGCCCCAAGGGAAGGAGGCGCGGGAGCCTCGGGGTCTGGGTGCTTTCTGAAGGCGAGCACACAGGGTGTGCCGCCCAACGTGTAGTTGGGGGAGACTCACTCCCCCAGGGGTCGGGGCTGGACAGACGCCTTGGGAGTGTGGGGGGTGCACTGGGGGCTGGACAGAGGCTAGGAGGGCCTGGGGCACACCGGGGGCTGACAGAGAGGCTGTGGGGGCGGGGGGCACACTGCAGGCTGGACAGAGAGCCCATGGGGGGTTGGGGGGCTAGATGGAGAGGCTGTTGGGGGGCGGGGAAACACCCAGTGGTGAGGGTTTGGGCCTTTGGGGCCTGGACCTGCCACGTTGCTCTTGCTCTTCTCCGCTTGGCAGGCTGTGGTCTGGTTTACAAATTTGGATCACACATACCTGATAGGCCTTGACTATCACATAAAATCTCCCGATTTTACACTTCCTGTCTTAAATGTCATGACATCCACTTGGATCTTCATCAAGTTCTACATTATTTTGATTGACTTTATTATTACTTTCCCAATTTCTTCCAAATGTGCAACCTGTTCTTTGTCTCTTCTTTACCTGCGAGGACACAGAGGCAGTGCCGCCCGTCTGCCTGATGCCTGCGTGGTGGCCTCTCTCGGCCTAGACCGCAGGCTCCGCACTTTGCATCCAGTTCAGTTATCCACCCTGCTCACTGCTCCCCTCCCCTGCGCCCGGGGTTGGAGCTTCTTCACTGCGGGGTCTTGTGTCCTTACTGACGGGATTCACCATCCAGTCCATGAGGGACTTGCTCTATTTGCCATCAGCCTGCTCCTGTGTGCCCCAAAGGTCAAGATATGACCTGCTCTGCCTCTGCCTTCCTGCCCCTCTCCCTCTTCCTTCCCTCCCGCCTTCCCTCCCCTCCCCACCTCCTTCTCCCTCCCTGTCTGAGGACTGTGGCCCTGGGCTGTCCTCAGTCTCTATGGCTGCTACTCCAGAACCCTTGGTCCTTATGGTTGCTGCCATTGCAGAGGTGGCTGCTCACGCGCATGGGGTTGGTTTCAGAGGCCCTGTCCTGCGGCTTCCACGGCTTCTGCTTTCCCGGGTGCTCCTCTGTGCGGCCTCCTCCTGCTCTGTGCTGTTGGCCTCACCCCTGCTGGCAGGGTCAGGAGCCTTCCTTCACCCCTCACAGAGCGCCTTCCCGTTGGTGTAATGAGCTCATCTCCTTTATGGTTTTGCACCTGGAATCCCAGTATTTTTGGTCCCATCTCCACTTGGTTCCTGTCTCACCCTGTGTCCCTCACAGTTTCTGCCCTCATTCAACACAGCTTATGCTTGTCCTTCAGGACTCTTAGGGTTTTAAGACAGAAGCTCCTTTCCTTTCATCTGCTGAAGGGAATTTACTTTTTTCTCCAGAAAGTCTCTCCTTCAGTTTTCTGTTGATAGGTTTGGTGCTATACTTCCGTCCCTGGGATTTTGCTTACTTTTCCTCCGGGGTCCCCAGCGGGGCCTCAGACCTCAGCAGTGGCTGGTTGGGGGCCGGTTGGGGACAGGTTGGGCATGGGCTGGAGAGAGGAAAGACACCTTCTCCATCTGTCCGTATGTCCAAGCACAGCCATGTCTCGGGCACTGGCTTGTCGCCCCTCCATCCCAGCACTGTTGCTTAGGCCCATGTGCCAGCCCCCATGCCATCGTCCATTGACTCCTACCCAACCCGCGAGGTCCAGGTTACCTGCCATCTGTGTTTGAGTGAGGACTCTCTAGGCTGTGTGACAGGTAGAAAGCTGTGTGCCCAGGGCAGGGGGGACAGGGCTTGTGTCTCTGTGGCTTGTTGTTGAACATCACTTTCATCATCCCATGCTGGTGAGTGTAACGGCTGAGCAGGAAGGGGACGCACATTTCTCCTCTGTCCCTTCATGGGCCTCTAGTGGGGTTACTGAGGGCAGGGATGGATCTTAGTCCTTCTGTCTTCTCACTGCTGCTTAGGGCCTGACACAAGACTGTACATGTTTGTGGAAGGGATGGGTGCAGGGCCAGCATAGATTTTATTTTAACTAATGAACTCCCTTTTGAGCATGAGGGAAAGAGATCCAGATGTTGCGTTCAGTCGAACATCATTCTCACTCATGTTTAACTGCTGTCATTCACAGGTTGATTTGATTCTTGATTTCTTCTAGCTTGATGATACGTTCTTTTCCTTGAAATAAGCCTTTTGATTATAAAGAATATACACTGATTAAGGTAAATATGGAAAACGCGCAGTGTGAGGAAAAGCAGTCCTAGTCTCTCACGGTTTTCCCTCCCAGAGCTACAGTTCTGACATGATGTGTGTCCGTGTACACGGTGGACCCCTGCTTTCACCAAAGAGCTGGGCCGGACTCACTGTCCAGAGCTGAGCTGAGCACACACTGGCTGCCTGCTGGGAAAGGCTGTCCTCTGGGGCCTGCACCTGTCTCCAGAGACCCAGTGCCTGTGTGGTGTGTGCCTGTATCTCCCTGTTCCCTGACCAAGTGGAGGCCAGGAGGCTGCAGGTCTCTGTCCTTAGTTGTGCCGTGGCATGTGTGTAGAAACACCTCTCCCTCGGGACGGAGCAGGGAGCACCTTGTGCAGTGCCGGGGCTCTCCCTCCCCATCCCATCCCTTGAAGTGTGCTGTGGGGGGATGGGCGGGCCTTCAAGAGCTAAGCAGGGGTGCGTGGTTTTACACAACTGTGGCTGCAGACACCACTGGGTTTGCCTTGACAGGTGAAGCTGTGTGGTGGTTTACATGTGGGCTTGGGTGGGCTGGGAGTCAGAAGCTGTGGTAGGGCAGCATTCCCGTGAGGCCTTTTGCATGGCAAGGGCTCACTGGTTCTTACTGGGCAGGTCCAGTGAGCCAGGTGGGGATGGCCATGGAACCTCCCCTGGAGAACTTGCTGCTTGTCTCGCTGGCTATACGTGTACGCACAAAGTGGTTCATATGAGTCACATGTCCCCTTTACCTTCCTTCCCAGAGTGACCCTGCGTGTGCTCACAGGTGTGTCCCTGTATGATTCCACATAGTGGTTGTGTGTTTGACAGTGAGGTGGTCAGGGTGTGGGTGTGTGCTCTGCAGTGTATGCGTGTGACTTCATTTCTAAATATCTCAGGAAGTGCTGGGACATCTGAGCCTGTGGGTTCTCCAGGTGGACCTGTGCATGGCTCTGCACATGTGGTCTTTCCTTGTTGGGGCTGCTTGCCTGCCTTCCTTGGGGCCCTACTGCCATTTTTGAGGAGGGAGTAGGTGTGTCTGGCTGTGGCCTTGGCACTTTGCAGCCCTTAGTAAGGCTGGCCAAGAGGTTTTGTTGAATGAGGTCACTCTGACTAATTGGCAGTGGCTGGTGGCTGGACATAGACTGTGAGGCTGTGTCCTGGCTTCTCAGGAGGCTGTGATGGGGCCATGTCTTCCATGGGTATAGATGAGGTCTGGCATCTAGGGTACTGTGAGGGTCCTCAGAGGGCTGGCTGATGGATCCTGTCCTCTGGGCCCACTTTCTGTGTTTGGGGCTGCTGTACATAGCATCTCCGCACCCATGCAGCTGGTCAGCATACAGATAAGTCTCTCCAAAGACCTCAGGGCCTGTTCTCATTTCAGTGAATTCAAGGATACTAGTCCCAAAATGCTATTAGTGTGCTACCAGGAGTCTGGGTGCACACACACATGTATGTGCATGTCCATAGGACATCGCAGGACACACACACACACATACTCCACACTCTCATCTGGGGACCCGAAGCCCATGCTGAGAGACAGCCATGCATACTCACCACCCACCCTTGGCTCATTTGTCAAGGAGTACGTGGGGCTGAAGTGAGTGCCTTGTCCTCTCCTATCCTCACAGAATGTGTGGTCTGGTCTGGAAGCGGGGCACAGAACAGGTCAACAAGCCAATATGGGGGCAGATGGTGTGAGTTGTGATTATTGCTGGGGGGCCGATGACCATATTTCAGAAGGAGCACCCACAGAAGGGTGTTTTATGGAGGTGCCATCAAAGTCCAAGTGTGAAGCTGAGGAGCAGCCAGCTGTGGAAAGAAACCAGCAGTGGGAAGCATCTCACACTTATTGTCACAGCAGAGCAGAGGGATTGCGCACATGGAGGCATGGGTAGGCTGTGGTAGCTTCATAGGCAAATGTTCCAGAGACCATGTGAGGCTGTGTCTCTGCCTCCCCTCTGCCTCTGCACCAGGACAGCCGCCGTGGACCAGAGGCAAACCAGGGAGCTTGGCTGAGTTCTAGTAAAAGTACTTAAGAATAGGTGGCCGGGGCTCCTGAATGACTCAGTCAGTGAAGTGTCTGCCTTCTGCTTAGGTCATGATCCTAGGGTCCTGGGATCGAGCCTCATGTCAGACTCCCTGCTCAGTGGGGAGCCTGCCTCTCCCTCTCTCTCTGCTGCTTCCCTGCTTGTACTGTTTTGCTTGTATTCTCTCTCTTTCAAATAAATAAAATATTTTTAAAAAATGAAACAATATATTTTAATGTTTTATATTATATTTATATACTTAAATTATAAAAATTTAAATAATATTTAAATAATTAAAAAATTAAAAAATAGGTAGGCAGTGGTTGCTGATCCAAGTTGAAGCGAGAGGGAGGCCCACAGAAGGGTTGGGATGGCTGGGGCTGCTGGAAGGTGGCCTGGGGTGCTGAGGCCATTAGGAGCCTAGTGACTGTGGGGACAAGGCTCTTGGTCCCCTCATCTGTGACATGGGATTGGGGTCAAGACCCTTCACTGGATGTGTAGGGGTCATCAGCTAAATGCCAGTAGCACACAGGGTCTGACACACGTGGTGCCTGCAACCAGGACTCGGGCCTTGGGCCAGGCCCGGGCTAGGACAGGTGCCCATGGGAGAGTTCTGAGATGGGCGGGGAAGCGTGTCCATGGGGCACATGTCTGTGGAGGGAGAGTGTGTCCTCAGTGACCCCTTCTTCCCCCAGGATCCCCCTTTGCCCGTGCCAGCCTCAAGAGCGGGAAGACGGAGAGCTCGTCATACTTCCGTAGGAAGGAGAAGATGTTCCGGTTCTTCATCCGGCGCATGGTGAAGGCGCAGAGCTTCTACTGGGTGGTGCTGTGTGTGGTGGCCCTGAATACTCTGTGCGTGGCCATGGTGCACTACAACCAGCCACAGCGGCTCACCACGGCGCTGTGTACGTAGCTGCAGCCTGGGCCTCCCCCTCACCTCTTCCCGAAACACCTCTGGTCTACAGCCTGGAAATCCTGGTTCACAGCCTTTTGCCTTGGAATGCCCTGGGTAGGACCCCAAGGGCCTCTGCTGGGGCCTGAGTTCCCCGTCCCAGGTGGCAGGAGGCCTAGCTGGTTGGAACGGGCTATAAACCATCTGTCAGTGTGGTGGGAAATGATGAGGGGTCCAGGGCACCCTGGGAGGAGGTTGATGGGGTGAGCAGGCATAAGCCAGGCCAGATGGACCTGTGTCCTCCCTTGTAAGGGCCTCAGACCTGTGGACCAGGGCACTTAGCCCCTCATTCCAATCTGCCACAAGGCTGGAGCTCCCTCCCAGGACCCCTGAGGAGAAAAGAGTCCTGCCTCCTCGGCTCTTCCTGGGCTCTTCCTGGGGCTCTTTCTGGGCTCTTCCTGGGCTCCTTTGGTTGTCTGCACTTTTCTTTTTGCTTGTTGAACCTGTGTCTGAGACCAGGGCTAACTTACCCGTGTCGATGAGCCCAAGGATAGGCCACTGGAGTCTGAGTCATGACTTCTCTTGTTACATTTCCAAGGAGGAGAGGAAGGTGACCAGGGTGGTTGAGGCTGCTTGCACCTCTGCAGGAACCAGGGATGCCCTTCCAGGACCAGCCCTTCACGTCCTAGGGCTCTGCAGGTCATGGGGAGCCTGGTCCTGGTCTGTCATCCCATCTCACGAGATCTCAAGATGAAGGCTCGTTGGTGGTTTCTGTTCTCTGGTCAGGGGTTCCATCTCCCATTCCCTGGAGGTCAGCTGCATTTACCCTGCTTGGTATCTGGGGCTGATCTGGAGCTGGTGGGCATAGGACCTTTTTTGGGCTCCCACCAGGGCCTTGCTTTCACCATGGGAGTCCTATATGCCTGAAGCTACCCTGAGGTGGCAAGAAAGTCTTTTCTCCAGAGAAGAACCGTCCTGGACCTAAGTTCCCTGGTGGGTCAGCCACACTCCCCTCTTTTAGACCACAGAGCCTGGTCAGCTCTAAGCAGGAGCTTAGGTAGCTCTGGAAGTGTTCTTAGGAGCTCTAGACTCTGATGGCTCCACAGGCCACTTACACATGTGGGTGGCGGTGACTGTTGGGGATGCAACGCTGGGCTATAGTTTCTCACATTTGTATAGAGATCTCTCACGTAATGGGGAAGGGTGGAGAGGAAGGCGGAGGGGCCCAGGGAGCTATTCCTGGGGCATCCAGGCCTTTCCTTCCCATGGGGCCCAGTCAGTGTTGTGGTTATTCCTTGTTTCCTGGGGATTTGCCACCCAAGGGGCAAGTGGGAAGCTGCACAGCCTGGCCACCCATCTGTGGTGTGGGAGCATAGGACTGAGAGTACCCAGCTGTTGGGCCTGGCCCCAGATCTTCCTTCTTGCTGCTCTGTCTTTTCTGTGGTTCCCTGGGAATTTCTGAGTTCATGGCATTACCAGGGAGCTCCCAGACTGGCAGGAGAGGTGGCTGCATGCTGGGTGTACATACCTCTGCTCAGCGTCCTGGGCTCCATCCTCAGCAGGACTGGAGCTGAGGAGGGCTGATCTAGCCAGGAAGGGCAAGTCTCGCAAGGGGTAGAGGCAGTGGCAGAGGTAGGAAGGGGGTGCCCACCAGGACTAGCAACATTGGAGCTCCCCACAGGGCGCTGCCCTGAGGCTGGCCACGGTGCAGACAGTGAGTTCTGTGCACCGTGGTTATCTGTCCAGCCAGGTCCACCCCTGCTGCACCTCTAGAACCCCCAAAGCTTAGCTGGTGAGGGGGAGGGGGTGCTGTGCTCAAACAGGCAGCCTGCTGTTGGGCTTTGTTGTCGCATGAGCCCTCTTGGCCCTGCAGGTCACCTTGACCACCCTCTCCTCTGCCCCTTGGGTCCCCTGGCACATGGAACAGTGTTCACATCTGCCTTGGCTCCCCCTTGGCATGCGCCTGGAGAGAGGGGTCAACTCTGTTTCCTCTTTAGGTTCAAGGCAGCACCAGTGCCTGGGAGTTGAACGAATGATTCAGGAGTGAATGAACGGATAGTGAGCATATGAAGCCGAGGGTGTTTCTTCCTCAGGAGAGTGAGAGGGCTGGCAGGACTGCTCCCATTTCCTGAAGAAGTCGCACCTTTGTCAGGTCCTGGGCTTGCTCCTCATGGTGCCCTCACTGGATCTCCTGGGAGCAGGATCAGTGACCAGGCAGCTGAAGTTCCAGGGCCTGGCATGTGGGCAGCTGGAAGTCCCGTCTTTGTGGCCTCTTTCTCCAGGGCCTGAGGTCTTCCTGTGGGGTGCCCCAGGGCACATGTGAAGAGGCTCTGGGACTCAGCAGCCATGGATCTTGGCAGGTTGCTAGGGCATTCTGAGTTGGACTTGGGGGCACGGTGCTGTCCTCCAACCACTCCTCATGCCTGCTGCTCCGCACAGCCAGGACCAGTGTTCAGTCATTCAGACCTGGCTGGAGTGGGTTCTTCTGCCCAGGTTAGTGGACATCTGTGCCTGGCACGCTGGCTTCTTGGCTCCTCCAGGGAGTCAGCTTTGCCTTCTCATGACAGATCCCATGCATGGCTGGGGAGTCACTGACTTGTTGGTTGGCCTCAGAGGCCAGGCTGATTGTGTGAGTTGCTGCCAGGAGCTGATTATCCATGTAGTCAAGGCAGAGGAGGGGTTCCCTACCTGAGACCTCGGCCCATGCAGAGGGCTGCGTGGGCAGCAGGGCTGTGCAGCATCTGGGCTATTGCAGGTTTGCCCCTAGCAGAGGCTGCTGAGTGTCCATAGCACAGTGCTGGTGGAGAGCTGTGGAAGACAGCACACGTTGGGGTCCCTAGGGTTGGCAGGAGGTGTGTGGTCTGTTCTACCAGGAGGTGCTTGGGGTCCAGTTTCCCAAGTGATCTGAGTACTAGAAGCCGCAGGGAGGCTGGGCTGATAACTTTCCAGGGAGCGGACTTCTCTGAAGCTTACCATCCATTCATGCTCATGGCCTGGACCCTCTGGGACCAGCCCTGCCCACGCTTCTGAGCTGCCCTGGGGCTGGAGGTAGGCATGGTCCCTGTGGGCTGCTCTACAGAATAACATGCCAATGCCAGCTCCACACTCGTGGGGAAGGATCAAAGGCAGTGCCCTTGTTCTGGCATCTGGCATTCCTGGTTTGGCTGGAGCCAGGGCCCGGCTGTGCCTCGTGCTGTCTGTGGCTTTGTCTGGCTCTTGGACCAGCTCGGCCTGGCTCGGGGTCCTGCTGTCTGTGTGTCTGGATTCCCCAGTATTGCCCTTAGTTCCAGTGCGGCCAGCACGGCCTCCCTTTGGCTCCTAGGCCCTCAAGGGTCCATACCGCTGGTGGCAGGACTCCAGGGTAAGGCAGGAGGGGCACCTGCAGGAAGGTGGAGGAGACTGCAGGAGCCTCTGAGTGCCTCAGAGTGAGGGGGCCATATCCTCCTGGCCCCAAGCAAGCGCTGGCCCTCCTGGGAGCCTCAGGCTGCCGGGCCAGGCAATGCTCATGTGCCAGGTGAGCAAAGGTCACAGCAAACACGATGATGTGGGGTTTTGAGGAAGGTGTCAGGGAAGCTCCCGCGGGAATATGGGGCAATTCTGATGAGGAGGCTGAGGGTCTCCGCGGTGCTCACAGAATGAGGCGGGGAGCAAGCCTGAAGGTGGAAGGACAAGTCCAAGCCCATCCTCCGGTGGGTGCTGAGTGGCACCAAGAACGCACTCCTGAGCCCAGGCCCAGGGTCTCACCTCCTGCATGTCTATCTCTGGTGCTGTAGGCACTGGACACGTACCACGTGTCAAAGTGGAGCCAGCATCTGTGTGTCCCTCCCAGTTCCAGTTGGTTCATCATTCTCATTCTGAGCTGTGATTCCCCAGCTCAGGGGCCACAGACCAGGCTTGCAGGGCTCAACCCTGGGAAGCTCAGAGGTCTGGTGTCCTCCAGTCTGGGCTGGAGCCAGGTGGGAGGAGGCTGAGAGCTAATCCCCCTCTTCTCCGGCTTCTCCTAGACTTTGCAGAGTTTGTTTTCCTGGGTCTCTTCCTCACAGAGATGTCATTGAAGATGTATGGCCTGGGGCCCAGAAGCTACTTCCGATCTTCCTTCAACTGCTTTGACTTTGGGGTGAGTAGGATCCTCAGGTGCTGGCCTGGGGTCCCGGCAGGTCTGTATCTGGGACTGAGCGTCCACACAGCCCCTCCCACCATGCTGTATCCGCGTGTGCTGTGGGGTCTGTGCAGCAGGACCCAGGCAGTTGAGCATGCTATGACCCTGTGTGGGTCAAAGAGGGAGGGGCCCTTGACAGAGAGGAGTCCAGGCCTGACCTACGGGGGTGTCAGCTGCAGGACATCCTCCTCCCTGCCTCCGGCCCTGTCTGTAGAATCTCAAGGTCAGCTGAAGGCACTGTGACCCCCTTTGTGCCTGGTGCAACCATCTTTTAAATATGCCACTGTTTTGCAGAGGGCTCAGTGTTCCCAGCAGAGCTTCAGGGGGGTGGGAGCTGGCTCTGGGCAGCTTGGGCACCTGCTTAGGGGTGGGCCGATGGGGGCTTGGTGGTGGTGCAGCCTTCCTCGTGGGCCTGGCTTGGGTCCCTAAACAACTTCTTTGGGCCTGGGAGTATTCACAGGACTCGCTGGGACAAAGCCCAGGGAGTGACACAGGCCCTCCCAGGCCAGTGGAGCGTGGACACCTCCCCGTGCCGAGCCTGGAGCCCAGGGGTAAGCTCTGACCGGTGCGGGCTTTCCAGAAGTGGCATGCCAGCCCTGAGGAAGGCTCCCACCTCTGCAGAGTCCTGAGGAGCTGGTGGGCAGGGGGCAGCCTGGACACAGGTAGAAATAAAACCTCAGCTCAAAAATTCAGCATGGCTTTGACTTTTCCCATCAGTGGAGTTAATGCAATGCTGTGTCCACAGGGGAGGCAGCAGGGACCCGGAGGCCTGGCCCCAGAGCCTCAGGTGACGCCCCACGGCACTGCAAGGTCTCAGTGGGGAGGGAGGAGCGGAGGCTTCCCAGGCTGTGCCCCAAGCCGTGGATGCCATGGTTCTTTCTGGGGGAAGGTTTCTTGTCCTTGGCCCACTTAGTTACTGGGAAAGACTGTGGTGCATGCAGGCCAGAGGGACCCCAAGGGGTTAGGGGATTTCAGAGGATCCTTGATCTTTCAAACATCTTCTGCTCCAAGCTGACTGGGTCCCGGGCCGTGGCCAGGTTTGCATGTAGCCACACAGAGTAAGCATGTGTCGTCTCAAGGTTCCTATAGGTCAGGGGCCCAGGCCTGGCTCGGCCACGGGCCTGTGGTCCAGGGTCTCTTAAGGGGCACAGCTGACAGCCAGGAAGCCACAGCCTCATGACGTGATGAGCACTGGAGAATTTGCTTTTCAGTTCCTCAGGAGGCTATTGATGGGCCTCAGGGGACTGGCTTCCATGCTCACTCACGTGGTCAGTAGCAGGCCTCAGTCCTGGTCACATGGGTCTCTCCCCGGGGCTGCCTCATGTCCTTATAATCTGGCAGCTTGTGACCTGACACAGAGACCGAGAGTTCCTGAGACAGAGCCGCGGAAACCCAGTCTCACAGAGATGACCAAACTGTGCCATTTTCTTTGTTCAGAGTGAGTCACTTGGCTGAGCCCATGCCCAACAGGGGTGGGGATGTTACCCGGGGTAATGACCCCCAGGAGGCACGGGGCACGGGGGCCATCTTAGAGGCTGCCTGCTGCAGTCCATGCCCCGGCCCCCAGTAGCCCAGACCCTTCCCCATGGGAAATACACGCATGTCCTCCGGCTTCCCCAGCACGTTGCATCCCAGCATCAGCTCAGGGTCCAGGCCTCATCGTCCAAGCCAGGCCCAGGTGTGGTGGAGGGTCCTCCAGGATGGCTGCTCAGCCCCTCCCCACCTGCGGACCTGTGGAACGAAGGAGATGAGCTGTCACCTGCACAGTTGTTGGAGGGGCTCAGAGGAGCTGCCATAGGCATTCCTGCCCAGAGGGACCCACGGTAGGACCCACAGGGAGTCTCTGGAATCTGGCTGGGAAAAGTCAGAGACCCTGGGACTAGACCTTAAGGCCTGAGAAGCCCTTTGGGCTTCAGCTGGCTTTTGGATCACCCTTCTTGTTCCAGGAAAGGTAGCGAGTGTTTTCAGTTGTGCAGGTCTCTCAGCCTGCTTCCTGCCAGTAGGATTCCAGGATCCAAAGGCCTGTCGTTTTGTCTTTCGCCCCGAGCAGGGGGCATTTCTGCAGAGCCAAGTCTTCTCAGAGCGTCTGGGTGTGTTGTGGGTCTTCCTGGAGGTTGTTGCACCCAACAGAAGATGTACCTGAACTCTGGGGATGGGCCCTTCCCTGCAGGTCCCATGGTGACACAGCTGAAGCCTTGCTGTTCCTGGGGCTGCCGTGCAAGACCGTCTCCATGGGGCTAGAATGTGGGACTGGGCGGTACTCTCGGGCGCCTGCAGCATCCGCTGCCTCTGTGGACTGTGTCATTTCTGACCTTGGCATCCTTGGCTGTGTGGCGAGGCTGAGTATTTCCAGAGCCGGCAGGTCCTGGTGGACAGCACTTCCTTCCTTGCACACTGACCATGAGTGGCGGGGGACCCAGGCCGCACCTGCACACTCTATGCGGAGATCCAGAGCCCTCATGGTCATGGTGGCACACTTTCTTCTGCTCACAGAACTGTGGGCGACTGTGTGGCCGAGGTTTCTGCCAGGACACAATAGGGCACCCACCCTGTGTCCTGTGGATTCCTCCTCGCTCCCTTGCAGTCCAGAGCCATGAGTGGTGCGTCTAGGGCTGTGGATCCGACATGCCACTCAGTGCCTGCTCTGGCTCCCAAACCACTGCTGTGTTGTTCAGAGCTTCGCTTCTGTCTCCAAAATGTGCATTGCTTTTCTCTTGACATGTAACAAATCACCCCAAGGGTTAGTGGCTTAAAACAGCCAACACTGTTGCTCTCTCTTGTTTTGGTGGTAGGAGCCCCCTGCTCCTACTGCCCCACCATGCTGCGGCAACTGCAGGCCCTTTGGGTGGGGAGCTCATGTCCAGGCTCCTTCTTGGGGCCACTTAGTCCCTAGCCACAGCTCCTCGTGTCCCACCACACAGCAGCTCTGACCTGCAGCAGAGCTGAGTACCCAAGAGGAAGCCGGTCCTTGTGACCTGATCTCAGAGGGGACAGCTCATCACTCTGTCCCGTTCTGTTGGCTAGCAGTGAGTCACTGGGTCCATCCCAGTGAGGGGACAAGACTGTCCAGGGGAGCACCACATACTGGGGGTCACGGTGGGCGTCTCAGGGGCCATCTGCTCAAGGAACACGTGGGGACAAAGTCTGAGGGTTAAGGAAAACGGTAAGAACATGGACTTAGGAAACCGGGAGCTCCAGCCCCAGACAAACATGGGGTGCTGTGCGCCTGCTGCAGGAAATTGGCGGAGGTGCTCAGGGTCGCCAAGGACAGGTGGTGGCATGCTCATCCCCTTTGTCATGCTGCCCAGGGTACAATGAGTGCAGCTGTTGGGCTGTCTGGATGCCAGCAGGACATCGGATGTGCTCTAAGTGATGCGGTTGTGTTCAGTGTGGAAAAGTGTGCAGAGGAGGGCTGTGAGCTGGGGTGAGCCATCACTGGGGCACCTGCCAGAGCAGATGTATAGGGTCCTAGACCAGTGGTCACTGTACCAGAGCCTCCAGTCATACCTGAGGCCTGGGTCCTAGTACGTCACCAGCTTCCTGGCCCTGGGGGAGAATGCTGACATTGAGCTGATGTGATTTGCAGTTGGTCAGTCAGGGAACCTATCAGCCTGCCAACACTCCATGCCCTGGACACACTGGGGGGCACCTGTTGGGGGACGGATGGCCCCAGGACTGGGGGGGCGGAGCTCCCGAAGGCTGCACGAGCTTAGTGTGAAATGTGAATCCTGTGTTGTGGATGCTCACAGAGGGACTGCAGCTGCTGCCTCCAGATGCGCACGTGTGGGCTGGTGTCTGTGTGCCTAAGGCTGACCCTGTCTCCCTGCAGGTCATTGTGGGGAGCATCTTTGAAGTGGTCTGGGCGGCCATCAAGCCAGGAACATCCTTTGGGATCAGTGTGCTGCGGGCACTGCGGTTGCTGAGGATCTTCAAAGTCACAAAGTATGTTATCCACGTGCTCCTGAGTGAAGGGAGGAGGGACGCAGGCCGCACGTGAGACTGGCCAAGCAGCGTGCTTGCTCCTGGGGGCTCATGGGGCTGGCCTCGAGCTCTACTATCTGCAGTCTCTTTTTGTGCTTGTAATTGGCAGTTTTAATGCCCCTGCGTGGCATGATTGTTTCGGTCACAGGGCCGTACCTGTTCTCAGGGTGGTTCCCCATTGGCCTCAGTGCTGCCGCCAGGGTTCCTGGTTCTCTAGGTAGCTTGCTTCCCACAGTTTCATACTGTCCCCTCTTCTGAAACCAGCAGTCCCGTCTTTCAACCTTCAAACGATTACTTGGCTTCATAGTTAACAGAGAAAATAGAAGTTACCAGAAGGAGGTGTTTTTTATGGTCTAGCCCGCCCCCACACCTGGCCACCTGCCTGTGGCCCCAGCCCTGCAGAGGGAGGGAGGCCTCAGCTGACTCTGCCCTTCTGACCTGAGCCGGCATGGCTCCCATGTGGCTCCCACACCCAGGCCTGCCTTCCCCACCCTGTGCCTGACGCTGCCTTGCTTAAGCCGTGGCAGGAGGATAGGTGCCAGGTCTGTTTTCAGTTCTGTTCCACTTGGTTCTTCACGTGACCCTGGAGGCCATTTGCTCCACTTTGTCTGTGAGGGGCAGCAGCCCAGGGCGGGGGTGTGATGCGGTTACCGAGAGACCACTGTCTACGCCAGGGCCTGGGGGTGGGAAGACGGGGCACCCCACAGCAGGACCTCCCCTACCCTGAGTGCCTGGACCCCTGTGCTGTGAGCATGCAGCCCACACACGCTCTAGCACGGGGCTCCATGCCATATCCCCAGCCATGGGACCCAGGGAGCAGGCCTGGCTACACTGGGCCTGTGTGGGAGGGCTTGGGCCCTGGGTCACCCCTCCAGTGATTTTCAAAACCTCTTATCTCCCCGGGGTAGACAGGAGTTCTTTTGGTCCTTCCCAAACTGTTTATTTGTTTGTTTGTTTATTTATTTATTTAAATATTTTATTTATTTATTAATGAGAGACACACACACACACACACAGAGAGAGAGAGAGAGAGAGAGAGAGAGAGAGGCAGAGGGAGAAGCAGGCTCCATCCAGGGAGCCTGACATGGGACTCGATACTGGCTCTCAAGGATCACGCCCTGGGCTGAAGGTGGCGCTAAACTACTGAGCCACCCGGGCTGCCACCCCCAGTCTGTTTTAAATCCAAACCTGAGACCATTTGAGGACACGATGGTGTCCCTGCAAGAGAGTTTGGCCAAGAATGTGGCCCATCTAGGGCCACAAATGCTGCTGTGCATCCTCTGTGGCCTCCCCATGCGATGCAGGTACATCACCCTGGGAGGAGGCCAGGACAGCCGTCTTCACCTTGGTTGTGAGGCCTGGTGTCCTAGGGCTCTGCTTCCTTCTGGAAGCCAGGCAGCCCCTGTCCTGAAGTGGGCTGGCTTTTCCAGTTTTCCCAGCCCATGATGTACCCTGTAAGAGAATCCATGGAACACAAGTGAACCTCTGTGCCACCAGCAGTAGGGAGGACAGGATTGGAGGGTCCAGGGACACCCAGGGGCAGGGTGAACATGGAGACTGTGATCTGTCCTGCCACTCCTGCCTTTCCAGGGTGCTGGGAGCTTATGTGCAGAGACACAGAGGCATATGGCGTGTCTCCTGGTGGCTGGAGGGAAAGCCACATGCCCCAGCCTTTTCTGGAGGAGCTCCCCAGCCATGGGCATGGGGTTGAACCCCCAGCCTCCCAATGAGCAAGCTGTCAGCAGCCTCAATGCCCCCCCTCAGTGGACTTCAATGGGGCCTGTGTGCCCTTGGGGGGCACGAGGGACACAGTATCTGACCTCCAGGAACATTTGAGGAGTGTGATGGAGAGGTGGGGGTTGTGGGATGCCAGGGGAACGGTCTCGCAGCACTGCCCCCCACCCTGACCCTCTCCAATCCATGCTGTGTCCTGGGCCCTTGGTGAGAGGGGCATTCACACCTGGGTTTCATGTCACCGATCACAGCACCGAGGACCTGCCCAGGCCATGGGCTGATTACCCTCCACTGCAGCTCCTTCTCAGCTTGTGGTCTAGGTGGAGGTTACCCTAAGGCTGCCTGGGTGTGGAGAGGTGGAGAGGGATGGCAGCAATAGGGGAAGCTTTGGGAGATGAGGGCGAGCCCAGCCCTGGATGTGGCCGTCCCCCCTGGCGTCCCTGGTGGAGAAGTGCTCTGGCTGCCCATCCAGGTGGGAAGCCTATGGGGTTTAGAAAGTCTGGGAAGCCATAGGTTTGACTGTGAGACCCATGGAGCATGGTGTCAGTGGTGGGTGGCGGGTGTCAGCCAGCTCTGTGGGGGCGCGGCCGGGCATGGACAGACCGCATCTGCCCTGACAGGTACTGGAGCTCCCTGCGCAACCTGGTGGTGTCTCTGCTAAACTCCATGAAGTCCATCATCAGCCTCCTCTTCCTGCTGTTCCTGTTCATTGTGGTCTTTGCTCTGCTAGGAATGCAGCTATTCGGGGGACAGTAAGTGGGCCTTGGGGGGTATAGGAGGCTGGGGGCCCTGCCAGGGAGACAGAGCTCAGAGCAGATGTGCTGCCCAAGTGCCCCACACCTGTCTTCTGCCTGGGGGTCGCCTGAGGGGACAACGGCCCCTCACAGCCCCCGCCCAGCCTGAGACAGTGCTGCACACCCGGGTGCCTGGCTGGGCTCCTGGTGGGCGACCTCCTGCCAAGACTTCTTGTTTTCCTCAGGTTTAACTTTAGAGATGAGACCCCGACAACCAACTTTGACACTTTCCCCGCGGCCATTCTCACTGTCTTCCAGGTAAGGCTCCTGGCTCTTAGCGCACTGCTGGCCTGCGTAGCTCTCCAGGTATGGGGAAGGCAGCCTTCCCTGTCAGTGCCTGCACGCCCTGGACAACCTACATTTCAGACAGAACTTTCCAGAAAACAGAAGGGGACAAGTGGGAGATGAGCATAGAGACAGTCCCTGGGACTGTACTGAGTCTAGAGCCTGGGTCTGGAGGGAAACCGGGGCCCAAGAATCATGTATGGTTCCCTGGGGAGCTCAACTGTCCTGTGGCCCTGGGCTTCAAACCACCAACTGGTCCCAGCCCCTGGGACCTCGAGCCACAAGCTGTCTTTTCCCCTTTGAGAATAAAACAGCAAAGCATTCCATATGCTTCTCCCTCCTGTCAGGCCCAGTGGTCTTTTAGTTCTCTTTTCTGTCTAGAGAACATGCCTGCCACAGCTCCTGGAGAAGCTGAGGTTCTTGGCCTACATCTCTGTGACACAGACCTTGTCACTCAGGTGACTTCTGCCCTCTCGGAGAGGTTCCCTTTTGAAGATGCTCTTGGTTGAGCACTTTGACCCCTTGCAGGGCTGTAGCACCCCTAATACCTCCATGACTGGCCTCACTGATAGTATAATGCCGACGTTTCTATCTTATGAAGCCTCCTTGGATACCATGCCTGCGATCGAGCTGTTGGGGTGAATTGTTGTTTTGCTCTGAATGACCCTTAGGGGAGTCCAATAGGCCATGTATGCTCAGGCCAGAGGGCTTAGCTAGCCTCCTGGTCTCTGGGGTTGCTCTTGTTGTCTGAGTTGGGGCCTCTAGGAGAGATCTGCTCAGTGATGGGAAGGAGCTCCTTTCTGCTGTGCGGTGCTAGGGCTGCCCAGCAGGATCTAAAAAGTCAGCAAGGGAATTGGTGGGAATGTGTTTCAGGCACAGTGGGAAGGTGAATGGAGTCAGGGCAGCAAAGGCAAAAGGCATAAGGTTTGTGACAGGACTGGCGCTGGCAGATGTCAGATTGGATGGGCCTTCCAGGGCAGACCCAGAGGCTTCACCCAGTGGGAGCAATCTCAGAGACTCCCAAAGTAGGGAGGGCACATGATTGAAAGTTAGAGCTCTGCATTGTTCTGTTTGTTGCAAGAAAGGAGTGAATGTGGTTGGTTAATGGTGGTGGTGTGGGACAGAGGGGAAGAGGAAGTCAGAGTTAGAGGAAAAAGATAGTTTATTATGGTCAGATGATGCTCTGGTTTAGACCTCAGACCCTCTCTGCTCTGGAGTGGCAATAAGGTAATAAATACATCTAGAAAATAAAAGGACCCAGCCAAGCAGAAAACAAACTGTGGCCCGGAAATGGAACAGTGAGGAGAGATCCAGAGACCCGGGTCCCTGGGATGTGGTCTGGATGAGGCAGATGGGTTAGACATTAGGGGCATCCCTGTGTGGCCTACCCAACTTGGCACTGGGGAAGGTGTGTGGCCCTTTGAGGAGCATAGGAGCAGAGCTAAGAGAGGGTAACTGTGGCTGGAGGAGGACAACAAGGTTGCAGGGGTGGATAGCTGGCCAGGCCAAGCCTTCACTTTCTGTGGATGGTGCTGGACTGGGGCCTGAGACCCCAGGATGGAGCTTGCTTTTGCTTCTGAATGGGGCTGGAGAGGGTAAGGGAGTGTGTGACCAGGAAGAAAACACCCCAAGTCTGCTCATGGTAAGCGTGCAGACTGAACCATGGTGAAACTGACCCCACAGAAGAGGCCTGACAACACCTGCAGTCAGAAGGTGAGCTCACTCCTAAAGAAATGAGAATAAGAGAACAAATGTAGGGGACTTTGCACCAAACGTGCTTGAGATCTACACAGTATTCGAGGAGGAACTTGTAACATGTAACACAAATTTACAAAAGTACCTGAGAACCAAGAACAGGTTGATACGAAAAAGAACTAAGTACAAATCCTAGGAATGAAAAATATTGCCGTTTAAATAGAGAAATGAAGGGTAAACTATACACTGGACACAACCTAAGAAAGGTGATCTGAAAGGTGTGGAGGAACATGGGACATGGGTGTGAAGCTGCTATGTCGGGTGAGGGAGACGATGCTAGCACCATCCGGGAGAGTCTTAGAGGGTGTGCACTCAGGCCAACCCAGGTGAACAAAACTAATGCCAAACCTAGATGTGTTGTGATAAAGAGGAAATCTTAAAAGCAACTCTGGAGAGAGATTCCTCACAGAAGAATGACAGTCTGATGGCAAAGGGTCAGGAGGTGACTTTGAAACACTGGGGGTCAGGCCGCATGACCCAAGAATGCCAATCCAGAGAGCTGAGGTTCAAGCATGAAGTGGAATTGGACATGTTCACAGGCAAATACGGAGAGTTACCATCTTCCTGATTACCCAAAGCACCACAGATATTTATGTATTTAGTAAAGCCAATGATTCAGAAGAAAAAAAGTAACATGACACCCAAGAAGAAATGAAAGACCTGAACCATTTCAGAAATTGAGTGATTAAAAATCTGCTTACCCAAGCCACCATGTTCTGGTAATTTCACAAGTGAATTCTACTAAAATTTGAGAAAGACGTCATTCCAATTTTATGCAGATGACTCCAGAGAAGACAAAAGGAAGGCACTCAGTTCACTTTATGAGACTACGGTAACCTTGATTAAAAAAAAAAAGACCCTAACTGAACTAACATGAATCTTCTCCTTAGTGACTTATAGGAAGAAACTCCAGCGAGGGAGCTGAAGTGGGGGTGGGGGGTGGCACAAAAAGGGAAACATTTATTTGCAGTAAATAAGGAGCTCACAGGAAATAACTTCCAAATCTGTGACTCCCCGTGTGGGATGAGTGGGTTCCTTTGATTTAGGGTTCAGAGCTTCGTCATTACAGAGGTGGGCATAAGGTCAGGCACATGTGCTCGGGAAACATGCCTATGCACGCATTGTCTGTTACGCTGACGGGGTTTGCGCTCCTCCTTGGAAGTAGATTTCACACTAGAATGAGGTATAGAGGTAACTGCCCTGCATTGTATGGCCTACCTACGCAGGTAGGGGTCAGGGACTGAGCCCTTCTGTTGCTTTCCTCTGAAAAGATAAGGTTAACATTCTTGTGGAGGAGGAGGCCAGTGGGGGTCTTAGGTCATGGTCACAAACACAGAGACAGAGGGAAGTAGTGACTAACCAAATTAGATATGCCTACAGGTTAACGAACTTGAGTTTATCCTAGAAACATGCAAGATGAACTAACATTGGAAAGTCTATTAATGTAATTCATCATTTTAGCCAATTAAGGAAAAACCATGTCATCAGAAAAAAGATGTGAACCCGGCAAGAGCATGGCACAGAGTGAGAGGGCAGGAGAAACAAACCTGGGAGATATGTTGTTCACTGTTGAGGCTGGATGACCAGCATGAGGAGATTCATCACAATCTCTACTTTATGTATGTCTGAAAATGTGCATAATGCATCCTTTTCTAAAAAAAGTAAAATTGCATGATAAAACCCAACACTCTTTTCAAGTAAAAACTCTTGGCAGATTATGCTGGTCTCAGTGGCCTTGGTGTAATAGGACAAGAAAATAGGAAATGCAATTTCTCAGGGTTGACAAAGAAAGAATAGTCACAGCCAAAATATTTGTGTACACCGAAAACTCAAATGTTGTGATTGCAGATGGTGTGGGACGATTTGGTTATCCACAGAGCAAAATGTGAAAATTGAATTTCTATGGCAATCTACTTTGTTCTAGATTTGAAATCAGTTTGGATAGATTAAGACTTAAATGTGAAAAGCAAATCTGAAGTTTTAGAAGGACGTGCAGGAGTGTGATGGTACTAACTCAAGGCAGGAAAGTCCCTCTTAAAATATAAGAAGCACAGATCATAAAGGAAAATATTGACAAATTAGACTGTTAAAATAGAAATTTCTGTGCATCAAAAGATACCACAGATAGATGTCTCTGAGAAGACATTTCCACCGTGTTACAATAACCACTGGAAGGTTAGTGTCCAGAACTTCCACAAATCAAAGAGAAAAGACAAATAACGTCATAGGAAAAGGCAGAGTGTAAACAAGTATACCAGAGGAGAGGAAGTTGAATGAGTTCTCTGATGAATAAACCTGTGAGAACTATTACTGGTGTTGCTAGAGATACAAATTAAACCCACCATGAGACAACCTCTCCACCTGTCAGTTTAGCAGAAATTTAGAAATCTAATATCAAGTTTTAGAGAAGATGTGGAGAAATAGGGATTCCTTTATGCTGCTGGTGGGTTGGTGGAACGAGTGTGGGTAGTAATTCCATAAAATCTAATAACTACAACTTGCATATGGGTGGTTCTTGTCGTGGGTCTGTGCTCTGGAAAGTCTCCTGCCCAGTTGTACAAGAAGATCCATGTGAGACATCAGGGCAGCATTATTTATAATAGTAAAAAACAGAAGTCACAGAAATGCTCATCATCACAAGAATGGATAAAAAAAGTGAGCCGTATTATCTATAGAGCAGGAAAATGAGCGACCTAGAATTAAAAGCATTAACATGGATGAATCTCACAAATAGAATATTAAGCAAAAAAAATGAGTAAGATTCAGAATAATACACAATATATGATACCATTTGAATAAGGACGAAATCATGCAAAACAATATTGTTTATGGCATACGTGTGGTGAAAGTATAAAGGCTTGCATGGGAATGATAATAGCAGACTTGGGTGATGGGGGAGTTCCACCCAAGGGGCGCCACCTTCTTTTGAATGCTGTGGTTCTCAAGCCAGGTAGTGGGTATACAGAGGTTGGTTAAAAATTATTCATCATCCCTTTCGTAGTGTTTGAAATAGTACATAATTAAAAAGTCAAAGGATACAAAAAGAGAAACTAAGAAATCATCCGAAGGAAGGCTGGCACAATATTCACATAAGCCAAAGCAGAAGCTAAAGGAAAAAAAGCATTTGGAAAAATAAATAAATATATTAAATAACAACGAAGAGAAGGCCGCAGTCATTAGCCTGCCCGACCTAAAAACTCGGCCTAAAAATACACTGAGCAAAAACTGCCAGAAGCACGTGGAAGTGTCCATCTTACAAGAGGGTTGTTAATACATTTCTATCAAACTGCAGGAGGAGGCTGACATCTGTGGACTCTGCACCCAGCTGACAGCAAACAAGACAGTCCTCATTTGGGGCACACAGGGCATTTGTGGAAACTGACTATATGTTCAGTACCCCAGGAAATTCCTACGAATATCGAAGAACTGTCATGCTATAGAACACGTTCCTGATGTAATGTAAATAAATACACAGACCTTGTGGAAAAAGTCATTTAAAATCTTCCCCCAGGTTTGAAAGCTGAAGGGCCAAGCTAAAGAAGACATTACAACGGACCTTATGAAATACTTGGAAGTGAACGATGACATCAAAACTTATGGAATGAGGTGGGAGTAATACTTAGAGGAAAGTTTATGAATGATCTTAAATGCAATGATCAAGATAAAAGAAAGACTGGAAATAAGCTAGTGATATACTCATTTCATAAACCTAGAAAAGAGAACAAGTAAACCAAAGAAAAATTGAAAGCAGGGAAAAAATGGTTAATAAGCAGATATTAGTGACACAAAACACCAAGGCAACAAAATCATAAAAAAAAGCAAACTTGCTCTCGGGAAGACTAATACGGCACCTCTGCAAGACTGGTCAAGAGAAAATGCACAAAAGTATAGCCCAGAAGGGAGGCATACCTACAGGAATGGGAGAGGTTGTCTTAAATCCCAAACAATATGGCCAGAGGTTTGAAAAGTAAGATGAAACATGCACTTTAATAGGAAAACCTCAAAGACATAAAGTAGCTCAAGAGGAAATGAAAAACCTGGGTAGCTTTCTAACCATGAAAGACAAGGGATCTGTAGAGCTCTTTCCCTGCCCTGGGCCTGGCATGTGTAAGATGAGCCTTACCAAGTCCATACAGTTCACTTGTGCCACAGAACACAAAATCAACATTCAAAAATGTGGCTTTTCTATGTGATGTAACCATTCAAGTAAAAAATTCAACGAAAATGAAAAATTTCATTCCAGAGGCAACAAAAGCTGTAAGGCACCCAGAAATCTGCAAACAGTATATAAGACTTTTATGGGTGAAATTATGACTTGTTATCAAAGGACCTACAGTTCTGGGCTCACAGGGGGTATATTTAAAATGGGGAGGCCTGAAAGGGGTCTGTTCTCCTAATTTAATTTCTTGGAATTCAGCATATTGATAATGTGGACAGGTCAATGTCCATGGATAGCCAAAGTGGTTCAGGAAGGAGGGTTTTGCCTCACTGTGTGTCGCGAATGTTTACAAAGCTACAGTGGAGGATCCTGAGATGTGAGGGCAGACCAGAGAACCCAGAAACAAGGCCAGGCTACATGGGAAGCTGGCCATAGGAAGAGGCTGGGCACAGAATATCTTAAAAAGTAGGTCTGAAAACTGGCTTTCTGCTGGGGAAAAGCCAATCTCCGGGTCCATGGATACACAGAGTGGTAACCATACACTGCAAGTGGATTAGAAATCCACCTGTGAAGGACCAGACTTCAAAGTGGTTCAAAGAAGACATAAGAATATTTGTAGGAATATTTGTAGTATTTGTAGGAATTTGTAGGAGAAGAATTTCTCAGCTGCTTCACAGTTTGTCAGGACACAGACATGAGCTGCAAGCATGTGTAGTCGCTCCTGCAGACGGAGGGTGACAATGAGCCAGAGGATGTGTGGAAGTGTCACCATCAGCATGAGGAAGACGAGTCCAGGAGACCCCAGAAGATGACCCTGACCCACTGGCCCTCTTGCCCCTGTGATGATGCAGCTTAGGGTGCACACTTTGGAAATGTCTCGTGAAATCAGAGGTGCACCCGCCTGCTGCCTGGCCACCCCAGGTGTGTGCAGACCTTTCACATGTTCACTGAGGCTCAGTGGCAAATCCCTGGAAAGAAGGAAGGTGCCTGTTGGGAGGCACATGGGTGGATGGCCTGCAGGGACCCTGTGGGGTGGGGGGATGGGAGTAAGCTCATTTGCATGCCTTGTACAGACAAACCTCAAAGATACGGTACTGGGTGAGGATGACCAGATGAAGAACGGTGTGTGCAGTCTCATATCTTCCCACGAGCATTTAAGGCATGTGTGGTGTATTTTGCATGTAAATGCATGTGTGTGGTGTAGGGGGAGCCCTGCTGGCATGGTTCCCCCGCCCCAGCTTTGTGACTGGGGTCTTCAGGTGGGAGTGACTGTGGGCAGTGGGATGCAAATGGACAGATGTGAGCTGGATTCGTTTTGACAGGTAGACACGTGAACGTCTGTTTGTTATCTTCTTGTACTTTCCAAAAATACAGTAGCAAAGACCCACATGCTTCCCGGTGGGGCAAGGATTGCATTTGGCCACACTTGCTGGACCCACTGTCCCCTGGACTGTCCCGTCAGGGCCCGGTGGCTCTGGGAGCAGGGTGCTTTGTCCTCCCAGCCCGGCCTCATTTCTCCAGCTTGTTGCTACAATCCTCTTCCTTGCCTTTGCTCACACTTCCCTTCAGTGTGGTGCTTCCTTTCCTTCCATTTTTGGCCAAAAAGCTAGAACATTGTCATCTTTTGAGGCCTGACCCAGCTTAGCAGCAGCCTTGTCTTTCTGGAAGTTTCTCTGGAGGACCCTGGGCCACCTTGGCCTCTGGAAGCACCATCTAGGAATCTGTGTGCAGGTGTGCCCCCGGGCTCCTGGGATGCAGCCGTGTCTTGACCCTGAGCGTGCATGTGGGTGAAGGCAGCCACGCAGGCATGCCCTGTGGTGCTATCCCTCCACAGATCCTAACAGGAGAGGACTGGAATGCGGTGATGTATCACGGGATCGAGTCACAAGGCGGAGTCAGCAAAGGCATGTTCTCCTCCTTTTACTTCATCGTCCTGACGCTGTTTGGAAATTGTATCCTTCTGCGCGGCTGGGGTGCAGCCTGGTCAGTGGTTGGCTGGGGCCCGCTTCTCCCACTTCCCCCAGGAGGACGGGAAGGGTGTTGTTGAGGGCCAGGACACATGAGGCATCAGTGGGGTCCCACGGCTGGGGAGGGAGATTGGGGCTGAGCAGAGGCATTCAGGCTCTCATGCTCCTCCACACGTCTACATCCCCCAATCAAAGCTCAGGGTCTAGTGCACAGATATGTGTGCTGACGCTATGGCCTGGGGACCTAACTTTGAGCCATGCCATAGCAAACACCCTGCAGAGCCTGGAGAAAGGTCTGAGCTGGCTGCAAGCACCTGTGGGTTGTCTTCTCCCAGACTGACCTATGGGCTCGGCCTCCTCTCCCTGTGTGAGCACCTGGACACCTGCCCCTGCCTTGCTGGCTCTCATGCCAGCCTATGACCTGGGACCCTGCGCACTTTGTTCTCTTGGCCTCCACTGGCCTGTCCTTCCCACTGCGGCTCCGATCAGCCCTGGACCCAGGGCAGGGGGCCCTGCCTCCCTCAGGGCTGAGCATGAGGCCCAGGAAAGAGTCAGGGGGCTTGGGAGGGGCAGGGCTCGCATCCCTGTTTAGCAGGTGGCAGGGACCTGGGCGCTGGTGGAGAGGAAACCCCAAAGTGGCAGCCATGCTTAACAGGGAAGGTAGGGGCCTACAGCTTGGCCTCAGATGGGGGACAGGGTTGAGACTAAGTGGGGTCCACAGGGAGGTGCCCCCCCCCCCAACTAAGCAGCAGCCCAAGGCTCATCGCAGCTCCTTCTGATGCTACACAGGCCTGGTGTGTCAGTGGTCAGGCCTTGGGCTGGCCAATGGGAATCCGTTCCTCTGCCACCACATCTCTCTGGCTGGGGTTCTCTGGGGTGGTGGTGGCTGTGCTTAGCATGGGGAAGCAGCCCCCAACCTCAGTGTCCTGTCCTTGGGGCCCTGCTGGAGCCCTGAGCACCATGCCTGTGAGGTGATGCTCTGGCATGTGGGTGCCTTTCCCTGCAGGGCTGGGTCTGGACCAGCAATAGGTCTGTTGCTGCTGCTCAAGCCTTGCACTGGTGGGAACCGTCGAGGCCTGGGTGGGGAGGGGTGGAGGTGAATCCCGGGCCCATGGTGCAAGAGGCCACCTTGAGGGTGTGGCTTGGCCCCCTGAGGATGTTGCCAATGTCTGAGACAGCCTGCTTGCTTAAGGAGAAGGTGCTGGGCTGTACCCAGGCCTGCTGCTCAATATCCCACGACAACAGAGGGATGGCTCCAAACGTCAGCAGAGCCAAGGAATGAGCTGATGCCTGGGGAAGGCCTGAGTCTGTGGGAGTGGCGCTGAGGCAGGGCACAGAGTGCAGGGAGGGGACAGTTCCAGGGAGGGGCTGCTCTCAGGACAGGGGCTTGTGGGAAGAGGTGCCTAGGGACATTGAAATGACCCGGGTGAGTGCCCGATCTGAGACATGGGAAGGTGGTACAGGGCAGCAGCTCTGGTCGCTGAGCTGGGCTGTGTCTGGAGTAACAGGGCCCTGAGGAGCAAGGGGATTGAGGGGCGTGTGGCCACCAAGGAAAGGAGGCTGAGGGGGATGGGGTTCTGCTCCCCATGGGGGAAGCCACGGGACGCTGGATGGGGGCAGAAGGGCTCCTTTCCTTAGCTGGAGCCAACCAGACACGCTACTGAATGTCTTCCTGGCCATTGCCGTGGACAACCTTGCCAATGCTCAGGAGCTGACCAAGGTATGTGCACGGGGACGCCGCCTGCAGCTGGGAGGAGCCAGAGGGACAGGGGCAGCAGGCCGTGTCACTAGGCCTGAGCCCAGACATCCATGAAGAGCACCAGGCCAGGGTTCAGGATCCATGTGACCACTGTCCAGGGGAGCCTCCTCAAGGTCCCAGATAGGTAGAGGTTAGGCTGCCCCTCGGGTGTGGCACATGGTACTGAGGAAGCTGAAGGTACCATACCTGGATGGGCAGCTCCTGGGGAAGCCAAGACCTGTAAGGAGTGGCCAGGAAGGCAGGAGGGAGGATGAGGAGGTACGGGCTAGAGATGACCCTAAGTGGTAGGGGGCAGACTGCATTGGCCTAGGGGTCAAAGACCAGGAGGAGGTGTGGCTGAAGGAAGGGGCAGTTGTTCCCCAGCCAGAGGGATGCATCAGGTGGGCTTAAGGGACATCCACCCCTGAAGGCCCTAAAGGGAGGTGTGGGATTGTCTGTGCTCATCCCTGGGCCATGAGGGGCCTCTGTGGGCAGTCTGAGTGTGCACAGTGGAAGCTTGGGTGGTTCCGTCCATAGATGCTGGGCCTGGCTGGGCCTGGAGGAGCAGCTGCTGCCCCTGGTCAGCTCGTCTGGGCCTCAGCAGGACAGCCTCTTCTCCTGGCGGTACCCAGCAGGCAGCATCTAATACTCATCTCTCATCCTTGAACCTGGCGGGGGATGTGATTACATGTGTCTTCCCCTATGGCTTCCTTCCTGATGACACAGCCCCCTGCCTGGTTACCTTCACCCTCACACCATGGATGGTGTAGCTGGGTTTCCTGCTGCTTTGGCCTCAGGCTTGTGCTATGACCCGCTCTGGCTCCCAGTATGGGGGGTATGGCTGCAGGAGTCCCTGCCCTCCTGGCTGAGCGTGTGGCCTGTTGGGGCACGGTTGGGGGGAGAACCCTTGTATCCACAGAGCACTCCTCTTTGAGTGGAGCTGTGCTGGAGCACACACCTATGCACATCCCTGTGTGTGTCTGATGCAGTCCAGCTCTAACCACCTAGCACGTCCTGGCTCTCACACCGAGGAAGGCACACCTGTGCTACTCTGCTTCTGGTGGTGTGTGTGGTCCAGTGCCCCTGCTGCCCCCACCCTGCTCTCTGGAAGGAGGGCTCCAGGTAGAGGCAGGCCTAGTCAGTGTGTCTTCCTTTGCTCCTGCTCAGACTTCCTCTCTTCCTGGCACAGATGCAGGCTGCGGCAGTGCCTGTGGGTACAGATGCCTCCCTTGCTCTGGCAGCTGCCTTCCCAGGACCTGGAAGGCCCACTGGGCTGCTCATTTCTGCTGTTGGCCAGGACTCAGCCCTCTAGGAGTGGCTGAAGAATGACTGTCCCTGGCTCCTGGCTGGGCTCCTGGCTGGGCTAATGGGGGCACAGGTGGGTGGGGGGAGAACCCTTGTATCCACAGAGCACATCTTGGTGTCAGGATTTCCAGGACCATGTGAACTGGGGCTGCCCAGGAGCACCGGCTGTCTTGAGCACAGGGCTGAGCTTGAGAGCCCCAAGTTCTCACTGTCTCTTCAAGTTGTGCTGTGGGTGAAGACATGTCAGAGAGGTGATGTCCTTGGGACCCTGTCTCCAGGAACAGACTGCTTGTGCAATGGCACTTTTGGGCCACCTGACCTAATTCAGGAATTCCCTTTCTTTGGGAGTTGGGGCAGGCAGAGGCCTCACTGTATCAGGCTGTGGGGCATTTCCTGGGATGGCTATCTCTCCTTATGTTCCCAGAATGTATTACAGCGTCAGGTTCTTTTCAAAGTGGAAATAAACTCAGTGGAGTTTGTAGAAACTCATCCTCTGCCCTGGAGGGCTGTCGACCAGGGTGGAGTCCATAGTTTAAAGACGGACCTTGTGGGGGGTGCAAAAAATAGATGGACCTCGATAGGGGAATTCTGTGATAGATCAGGCTTTGCTTCCTCTTTGGGGCCTCAAGCTTGAGGACCTCTTCAGTATGGCGGAGAATCTGCAGGCAGCTAACAGGAGTCTTAGTTTTTGTCATTTTGGGGGCCTCTAGGAGAAGATTTTGGACATTTTGGGCCACACTGGGAATGCCACTTTCCATGGAAGCCAGGCAGGCCAGGGAATTGGGGTTTTTTTGGGGAAAATAATGGTGGTTTCAGCAGTCTAGTTGGATGACGTGGAGGCCTTGGTTTCCCTTCCTGGGCCCACGGGCTTAGCCCAGAGCTTTTCATCCAGATCCCAGGAGCAGAGCATGTTGGTTTTGCCTAGTGACATGGGGTCAGGGCCAAAAGGCCTGCCCAGGTGTCCACTCCCCTTCCCATGGAGGGCAGAGACAGGTCAGGTTATCTGTACATGTGTCAGAGAGCTGTGGGGTCCTCCCCAGGAGTTCGGTGGTGGAGGGAACACAGTCAGACACTGTGAGTGGCTGTCCAGGTGGATACAGGGAGGGACTTTCTCCAGTCACAGCTGGGGGCAGGTAGGAAAGCTCAGAGACTGGGAGGTGCCCCTGCTAGACCCACTCCTGGTGACAATTTCTGCGGGCCATGCTGGGCCAGGACCTAGGCTCAGGGTGCAGAGACCCATCTTTTGCTTTTGCTCATGGCTCTGGAGCAGAGACTAACTTCGTCCAAGTGACAGGTTCTCCTGTGGTGGAGGGGCAGTAGGTGAGAAGAAAGGACGGATGGGCTTGCATTTGGACAGCACCAAGTCTGAAACGCTGTGGGACAAGCATGTAGGCAGCAGCTGGGTCCCTGCGGCTTCAGCTCAGGAATGGGGGTGTAAGTCACCAGCTATGAGCACCTGGGAGACAGCCCATGGCGAAAGGTGTTGAGGCAGGTACAGAAGGGGGGGGGGTCCCTGAAGGCTACCAGGGAGCTCAATGCTGGAGCTGCTGCCTGGCCCACAGGTTCAGAGGGCAGGAAGGACTCAGAGACCACGAGAGGAAGAGCTGATGCCTTCAGCACAGATGCAGCACTCCCAAGGCTAGCTGCACCCTTCTGTCTGTTCAAACAGGACGAAGAGGAGATGGAAGAAGCAGCCAATCAGAAGCTTGCTCTGCAAAAGGCCAAAGAAGTGGCTGAAGTCAGCCCCATGTCTGCTGCAAACATCTCCATTGCTGCTGCGTAAGGCTCTTGGGGGTGGATAGCCAGGTGGTGGGTGGGGGCTGCTGCAGAGTCTGGCAGCTGGGCCCTCAGCAGAACACTCCTTCTGGGGGCTTTCTGTTTCCCTTGCGTTGGCTGGAGCCTCTTAGGACACAGCCCCCTCCCCAGCCCCAGGAGCTGTGATGAGAAGGAATGGCTCCCTCCTGTGGGAGCTTTTGAGAAGAGGGTTCACCAGGAAGAGCCTTCATGGCTTCTCCCAGGTTGAGTTGGAGCAGGGTGTGGCAGTGCATGGCTCTCCCATCATGGGTAAGATTGGCTCTGATTCACTCCTCAGCAGTCCTGGGTGGCTCCCGTGAGCCAGAGGATTCCAGCTGGTACTTCAGGAGCCCAAGAGACTTCATGCAGTTTCCCAAATGGCTTTGAGGTTTTGGTACAGGAACAGAGGTCAAGGGGAAGCCTTGATGAGGAGAAAAGGTGAAGGCAGGGCCGAGGATTCCCTGGTGCAGCTGGGCCTCATGGCATGTTGCAGAGCCACATTTGGAAGTGTTAGGGCCTTCAGAGTTGGGACAGAGTGCCCAGCCCAGGGCCAAAGGCTGCAGTGTCCTGGGGGAGGTCGCCGCTGGGGACAGGGAGGAATGGAAGGTGAAAGGAAAGTCTGGCCTAACGTCGGGGTGGCTGTGAGAGAGCACAGAGAAGCTCTTTTGTTGGAAGCTTGCTCTCTAGGCCAGGCCAAGTCCATCTGGAGCTGCTGACATATCTTGGGTGGCACGCCCACCCCACCACATAGCTTCTACCTCCCATCCTAGTCCCGCTGGCCTCCCTCCCTCTCCGTGTTCCCTAGGGCCAGCCTGAGGTATGTCTGTGGTGACACATGCATCTGTGCTGCTGGGTGTGCTGGCATGTGGATGAGTTTGCTGGGAGCGTGGGTGTGCAGGTATGAGTGTGTGTGCACATCATGCAGCCCTATTCTGGTCTGGCTGTCCCCAGGGTGATGGCCTGGGTTCTAGGAAGGCCTTGTGCAGAGGACCAGCCCCTCAGCCAAGTAGGAAGCCCTGGCCTCTGGAGAAGAAGCAGCTAGAGGAGTTACGGGCCCCTGGCGGGTCTGGGCAGGGATGCAGGAGGCCTGCGGGGAGCCAGGCAGGACACGGAGTCGGAGTCGTTACTCAGCTGCTGGGTGGCTTGGTGTCCAGTTGTCTCTGCGTTTTGTTTGGCCGATTCAATGACTCGGTCGGCTTGGTCCTGGGCTTGCTCTGAGGAGGTTGTGGTGATCCAGCAGACGGCCCCTTCTCCTGGAGCTTTGTAGACTGCTGGTGGTCTGCTTTAGCAGAGGTTGCGGGTGAGCCTTTCGCATATTCATTGGGTCTTATGGGTTTCTGTTTGGCATTTGCCTCTTCTGCTCTGGGAGCTGAGTGCACTGCCCCCCAGGCCCCATACCTGCCAGAGCTGCCTACACCTTAGGGGTTTGTGGCGGGTCTCCATTCCCATTGGGGCTGAGACCCCAGAGAGGCAGGCACTGGGGTCCTCAGCACAACCCTGGAGACCATGTCAGGCCACCAAGGAAGGTCTGGAGGTTCCTTATCTGGGGACACTGCTACGTAGGTACAGGGCTGCACAGGGCATGCCCAGGGTATCTGACAATACCAGCTGTTGGCCTGGTCACCACCCTGTGCTGCTTTTCTCCTGGGGATGCACAGGTGTGCTGCCTCATGGTGGCTCCTGAGCTTGGTGTCAGCTCATTCCTGTTGTGCCAGCCTGCAGTGTGTCCAGGCATGGGCTCTGTGCTCCCCTTCTCGGGCTAGCTATAGGCCCTGTAGGTTCTCTGGAGATATAGGTGCTGGAGCTTTGTCCTATAAGGCATGTCCCCAGTCTGCCTCTGTCACACACGGCCGTCAGCGTGATGTGGTCACTGAAGATCCTGCCCACTGGGCCAGGTCTCAATTCCTGGGTGTGTGTGGGACAAGGTGTTGGTGTTTGCTTTCCTGTTTGTATGGAGACCTCTGAGCCCTGGAAGCTGAGGCTCAGGCTCCTGTCTGTCTGTTCACTGCCCCCCAACCTCCCAGCTGTTTCTGCTCTCCTGGTGAGTCGTATTGGGTGGACAGGCGGCTCCTGCTTCTTCCCCCTCTGCTGGGCTGGGGTGAGAGCGAGATCCCTGCGTGACACGCATCTCCATGCTGCTCCCCACAGCCATGCTGTGTGGTCTGTAAAGTGAGAGGACTGGTCCAGAAATTCTCTGTGATGCCTTGGGTGCTGAGGGGCCCTTACTGCCTTTAATGTTGAGAGGCTCCCCTGGGCTGTGTAGCTTCACCTGAGGGGCTCCATGCGCGGTCCCTTGGAGTTGGGCTTCAGCCTCAGGTGACCAGGGGGGGAAGGGATGCTAGGGGTGACAGCTCTCTGCTGTCACCCTTTTCCTCACCTGGACTTCCAAGTGCTGCTGCACACACTCACTCACACCCTTCACTCAGCTTCCATGATTCACAGTCCCCGACAGTCACTGTCACATGCACTCATGCTCACACACGTTCACACTCACACACATGCTTAGTCACAACCTCCTGCTCATTCACACACTTACATCCACACTCACACTCAGTCACACACTGATTTGCACATTCTTTCTTTCTCTCTCACACACACCTATTTGCACCCAGGACCTGCAGGTGGATGAGCGGCTTTGAACACCTCACAAATGTGTGTAGACTCAGCCATGAGGAGGAGGAGCTGGGAAGCCATGTAGTTCTCCCCAGGGGAAACATCCTTAAGGGGGAATGATGGTAGAGATTTTTGGTTTCTCTGTTGATTCTGGAAAAGATTCCAGAAAGTCACTAGGAAATGGCTTGGATTACACCCAAAGGAAGTGGGTTGGAGATGTAGCCTCTTTGCCCTTGGGAGGGTTGTGGAGGCACCTGGTTTAAAGCCTGAGGAGGCAAGGGGACTGGTGCAGGGTGGACAGACAGCAGGGCTCAGGTGAAGCCTAAAGGTAAGGTGTTCTGTGGCAGCTGGCCTTGATCCATCCTGAAGGCACGGCAGGTGCACAGGTCATCCCACCATGGCCCCGTGGGAGTGGGACACCAAGTGGCAGGGGAGGGCCACTTGGAATTTAGGGGCATGTGGTGCTGGCTCTTTCCAACCCTACTGCCCTTCTAGGGGCAGAGCGTGCTGAGCTGGAGTGGATGGGTCCCCAGCTCACAGCTCCCTGTCTTCCAGCCATGGTGGGGTGTGCTGTGTTCTTTTCAATGTCACTTCTCTGCCGATGCTCTTTCTTTCTCAACTTCTCTTTTACCCCGAGGTCTCAACTGGTGCCCATTCTGATGGAAGCGTCCCTGGCCTCCTGCCCAGATGCACACTGCAGCCTGCACCCTGACCTGATGTGGCTTAAATGTGTTCTGTGTCCCTTAGAACCCTCTCTGGTTTTCTCACTTGTGTTTTGTTTTGTTTTTTGCATGTGCAGTTTTGTAAAGCACACTCGAGGTGCTGTATCTCGCAGCTCATCTGTCTCCAGCGTAAACTCACCGTGAGTTGCTCTGCTACGATACCCATCTGTGGCTTCATGGCAGCTACATGCGAACACCCCCCTCCACTCCTAACTGCTTTTCCACCTCAAACCACTTGCTTCGAGGGCAGCTCCAGGAAACCCTTCTGCAGCTGACAGGGGACAGTGGGCATGCTTCCTGACATTCCCGAGCCCTGCTCATGGGCATCAGGCTCTCTGAGCTCAGCCCTTCCTCCTCTCCCTCCTGGTCCTCTTGTCTGCTGTCTGTGTGCTGTCCCTCTGGTGTCTTGAGGCTCTCTGCTTCTCCTGAGGTGGCCACTGCTATCTCCTCGTGGTTCCCACAAAGTAGAGTGTTCACTAGGACTCACTGAGGATATTTATGGGGTCCTCCTGCCCCATCCTTTTTGACTTGAGAGAGAAAGTATCTGTGATCCTTAGGGAGTTGTCCTAGCAAGAGCAGAGCTGCTGTCTCATGATAGCCCAGAGCCTGAGGCAGAGCCATAGAAACCACAGCATGTCCCTCTTGGAGGTGACACCAGTCTGACTGGGGAAGTGGTCCTGGGGACGCTTACCCCTGGGGGCTTCCTCCCGGGGCTAAAACCAACTCTTGCAGGTGAGAAGTCCCTGGTGTGGTTGAGTCTAGTCAGCACACCTGGATGGGCGTAGCCAGGTGCTCTCTCTATGTTCAGGTGGTGTGGGAGCTCTTGCCACCCCGGAGCCACCTGTTCCCTACTCAGCTAGCATAAGGCTAAATTGGGCTTGCACTTGGGACTGCTGGCAGTTGGGGCTCTGATGTCTCACAGAGTAAGAAAGTTGGATCCTGGATGACTGATTCACAGGGTGGAGTGGGATGTGGATGTAGGTATCGATGGCATCACAGTGAGGGCTGCTTTACGTTATCAGCAGCTATGGGTATCTGGCTCTGTTATCCCAGAGACCTCAAAGCAGAGCCATGCCACTGAGGCTCCTTTTTGGGTCCTTCAGGCATCCACAGCCTGGGTTGGGTGTGGCTGGATAGGGCTACACCAGCAAGGGGGTCGAGACACTGTGGAGCTGCTGCCCCATGTGACTCCTTACAGGGCCTTTTAAAATAAGGACTTTGCCTGAATTATCGTCACGGTGCATCAGATAGTAGTCTGGCCCCCACCTTCGTGTTCTTGCTGCTGGTGAACCAGGTGGAGAGGTAGAGAGTGAGAGGCCAGTGGTGGCCACACTACTTTAATGTGCCAGACAGAGCAAGGACAGAACAGCAGCTGGGGGGTGCAGGCTGGCTCAGGCACTGACAAGGAGGACAGGCCTGGTGCAGACCAGAGAGGGAGCCAGGATATTACGGAGGGGTGAGTGGGCCAGACAGTTTGAGGTGGTGTTACGGCCCAGAGAGGCCGAGAAACCCAGGCTGCTCAGGGTCTTGCTCCCCTGGGAAGTTCTGAGGGGAGTCCATCAGCCTCATTTAGCAGGTAGCTCACTCCTTTGTGAAGTGTAGCTGGTTCCTGGGAGAGAAGTTGCTGCAGCTCAGTGTCAGGGCGAGGGCAGAGCCATGTCAGCAGGAACCCATCCTCACCTGAGCTCCGAGCCACTGCAGTGTCTCCATCGTCGTTACTGCCGGCCCGCTCTGACAGAGAACTGGCCTCCAGGTCTTGGGCTGCATCCAACACTGACCCTGCTGATCAAGCAGAGCGGAGTCTAGGCCTATGTCAGGCTGCCGGCCTGGCTGTCTGTCTTCACGGGCTCCTATGCCTGAGGAGTGCCCCTTAGTGCTGTCATCCACTTCACACAATTCAGCATTGTTTGGAGTTGGGTCATTTGTTTTGGTGCCAGGCTGGGATGGGTAGGTCCCCAGTGGCTCTAGGCTGAAGCTGAAGAAACAGAAGGTGTTAGGACTGTTGCAAGGAGTCCCCAGGATCAGGGAAGCACATGTGTCAGAGGAGGCAGGTCAGGGCCTACTGTGGCAGCCGAAGGTGTGGGTTAGCAGATGGCCAGAGAGTCTGACAGTTGTTCCCTGTGCATTGCCCTGCCTGCCCACAGTATGGACTCCTAGGTGCAAGTCAGATATTGTATTCTTCTGCCTCCGTGTTTTTGATGCACTGCCCTGGAAATGGCTCCCCACGCTGGAGCTTGGACTTCACCTCCAAAGAGGTAGGCTTTGGCATCATAAACTTTGTGCAGGTCAATTGCAGGGACTAGGCTTTTCCCACACCTGGCCACCTCTGTCTTTGCAGGTCAGCATGGTGCTCAGTGACCCAGGGCACTGGAGCTGGTGGCCTGTCCAGCCTGGGCCCTGGTTTGAGGCCCCTCAGGCTGTGACTCTGTGCCGTCAGTGCAGTTGGGGTCTGGCTAAGGCCTCGCATCTTTAGATGACCTTTTTTTTTTTTCTGTTTTGCCTTTGCCTGCGTCTGATCCTGGCTCCGTCAGTGACTTGCTGTGGGGCCCTCTGTGAGTCACGCCTTCTAATAAGTTCAGTGTCTTTACCTGTGAAATGGGGACAGGAGCAGCACCTAATTCCTGAGGTAGTTGTGAGGATTGGATGAGGTGGGCACTGTAGCCCATAGCACAGTGTGGCTCTGAACAACACAGGTGCTACTACCACCACCACCAGGGTGGGTCTAGAAACCTCCAGAGGCTGAAGGACAAGACTCTGGCCTCAGATGAGGTTTCTGCTTGGCCGAGGTGGGACTGAGGTCGCCTACTTTGGAGGCCTTTTTCAGCACAGATTCCAGAATGCAAATAGCTTCCTGTGTACCCTGGGCTGTGGAGCCCCACATGGGACCGTGTGGGTGAGGCTGGAGGGGGTCAAGCCTTTGGTAGCCTGTGCAGTGAGGGCCAAGACTCTGGAGCACCATGCCTGGTGTTGGAGGGCTCCTCTCTGCTCGGGTGGATGGACTGGGCTCTCTGTGGAGCCAGGAGAAGGGAGGGCATTGAGGAACACAGGAGATTGCATCTCTAGCCCTAGACCTAACTGCTAGGTTCCTGGGAGCAAGTGGTCACTGAACCAAATGGCAGCTGCCCAGATGGGGCTGACCAGCTTAGGCACAGCTTACCCTTTGCCCCTGATAGGGCTGCTGCCACTGTCCCCTTGCTCCCCAGGCTGCTGCCTGCCTCATTCCCAAGGACCCGCCTCTTCTCAGGGTTTCTCACAAACATCCCTGTCTCCTTCTGGCCAGTGGCTGTTTTTCTGGAAGTGGAGATAGAGAAGCCCCTCCCCGGGCAGCTCTACTCTATGTTACAGCAAGGCCCGCGCTCCAGGACTGCTGAAGGGGGCTCGCGGCCTTCTGCCTCTTCCTTAGCCCTGCCCCATTTGGGCGCTGCCCCCTACTCTCCCCATGTTGGCCTTCCTGGCTGGCAGCTCACCTGCCCTGGAAGCCTGTCTGCCACCTCATGCTGGTGCCTATCATTCCCACTGCCCTGCGTCCCTTGGCCAAGGGCCCCTGTACACCCTCGAGGGTGGCCTTGAGCCCCGCCCCCAGGCTGTTGCTCTCACAGTCTCTGGGATCACGACGCGGTAGGGGCAGTGCTGAATCCTTGTTACCCTGGGTATCGCCTCCTTGTTCTGCACTGACTGCTGGCGGTCTTGAGGGCTCCTGCCACCCCCCCCCCCGCACCCTCTCTGCCATCCCTTCATCGCTGTGTCCATCTGTGGCTTCCCTGTGAGGCAGGGAGGTTGGAGAGCGGCTCAGGGGGCCTCCGCTCACTGCCGGTCTCCCCACAGCAGGCCGCAGAACTCGGCCAAGGCGCGCTCGGTGTGGGAGCAGCGGGCCAGCCAGCTGCGGCTGCAGAACCTGCGGGCCAGCTGCGAGGCGCTGTACAGCGAGATGGACCCGGACGAGCGGCTGCGCTACGCCACCACGCGCCACCTGCGCCCCGACATGAAGACGCACCTGGACCGGCCGCTCGTGGTGGAGCTAGGCCGCGACGGGCCGCGGGTTCCCGCCGGGGGCAAGGCCCGGCCCGAGGCCGCGGAGGCCGCAGAGGGCGCCGACCCGCCGCGCAGGCATCACCGGCACCGCGACAAGGCCCCGGCCCCCGGCCCGGCCCCCGGCCCGGCCCCGGCCCCGGCCGCGGCGGCAGCGGGCGAGCAGGACAGGGCGGACGGCCCGAAGGCCGAGGGCGGGGAGCCGGGGGCCCGGGAGGAGCGGCCGCGGCCGCACGGCAGCCGCAGCAAGGAGGCCCGGAGCGAGCGCGGCCGCGGCCCGGGCCCCGAGGGCGGCCGGCGCCACCACCGGCGCGGCTCCCCGGAGGAGGCGGCCGAGCGGGAGCCCCGGCGCCACCGCGCCCACCGGCACGCGCCCGAGCCGGGCAAGGAGGGCGGCGCGGCCGGGCCCAAGGGCGAGCGGCGAGCGCGCCACCGCGGCGGGCCCCGGGCTGGGCCCAGGGAGGCCGGCAGCGGGGAGGAGCCGGCGCGGCGGCACCGAGCGCGGCACAAGGCGCTGCCCACGCACGAGGACGCGGAGAAGGAGGCCGCGGAGAAGGAGGGCGAGGCCGAGGACCGCGACAAGGAGAAGGAGCTGCGGAACCACCAGCCCAAGTGAGGGAGCGAGGGCCGGCCGGGTGGGGTCTGCAGTGGAGGCGGGGGGGGGGGGGGGGGGGCTGGGGGGGCTGCCCCGCTGCCCCACCACGCCCTGTGCCACTCTCCCTCTGCGATGGTGACCATCCTGCCTCGTGGGGTGACGCGTAGGATAATTAAACCTGCATGGGGGGGGCAGCAGTGAACGTCGGCAGGAGGGGAAGAGGACAGGGGGAAAATTGTTGGGGCTGGTTTCGGACACGTTGGTGTGGGAAGAGTCTAGTAGCCCAGGGAAAAGAGAAAATAGGGGAGAGCCTGAGGGAGGCCTGAGGAGGCCACTGCGCTAAATGGTAGAAGGGAAGAGGGCCCTGCTGGGTGACCGTGACACACAGGGCCTCCTGCCTGGCCACAGCAGCGCCACACAGACTGCTTCCTGGCTGGGACAGGATCCGACTCCAATTCTGTGAGAAACCTGGTGTCACAGGAGTCCCCAAGCTAAGGCCCATAGTCTGGGTGCCTGCCGTGGGCCACAGACCTCTCAGAACTCATGTAACTGGAGGCCACAGCTCAGGATCAGCCCAGTCCAGGCACCGTCTTTATGTACAGAGCTCTGTGCTGGTGTGGCAGGGCTCCAGGTGGAGTAGCTTAGGGAAATATCCTCTTCCAGGCTTCTTCATTCTGCAAACAGTCCCCCTACCCCCACTCCACTGTGTGTGTGTATGTATGTATATATGTATACATACGTATACTCCATGTCAGCCATGTCTGGTCTTAGGCCAGGGACAGTCAGGGGAGTCAGCCCCATTTTACCTTTCAGATCTGAAAACACAGATTAAGTGATAAAAACCATATGAAATGCCAGAGTAGCAGAGGAATGGGTCAGGGATTTATCTGATCTGGATGAGGGCATAAGGAGCTGGATTTTGCAGACTGGATAGCATTTTGGGGCTGCATCAGACTCTAATATATATTCTTGGTTGCAGGGAGCCACACGGTGACCTAGAAGCCAGTGGGACGATGGGTGTGGGCCCTGTACATGCATTGCCCAGCACTTGTCTACAGAAGGTGGAGGAACAGCCAGAGGATGCAGATAATCAGCGGAATGTCACACGGATGGGCAGCCAACCCTCAGACCTGAGTGCCACTGTGCATATCCCAGTGACGCTGACCGGTCCTCCTGGGGACACTGCGGCTGTTCCCAGTGAGTATCTCCCCATATCAGCGGGGCAGGCTCCATTTGCTGCCCCCCACCCCGCCCCATGACAACTCTTTGGGGACACAGCATGCCGGTATGAACCATTCCACCAGCTGCAGAGGAAGTCCTTTGTGGTGCATCTGTGCCTTGATGATATCTCTTTGTTTCCCAGTAGCCCAGAGGAGCACTGTTACTATTACATGTCACTATTCTCTATTCTCCTCTCTTCCAAGAATATTTGCAAATTACCAGCTCACTGGTATTAATTAGAGTGCTGGGGGACAGCAGGAGGGAGCAGGACCAGGACTGCCCTTGGGGGGCTTACAGTCTCATCGGGAAGACAGACCTCAGGACAGGCATGACTTTGTGTAGTTGTGTGAAAGCTCCTAAGGATCATGGTCCCAGACTTGATGGGGGCTGAGAACTAGCCTGAGGAGGAGGAATTGTTGGGGTGCTGGTCTTCCCACGGACTTACATGGTCTATGAACCCTGCTCTGAGGTCCCCACAGGCCTTTGCCTGAACCCCTCTTTTTCTTCCCCTCACTCACACGTTCATGAGGTCCTGATTGAGCAGTGTCTCCGCTCCTGACCATGTGCAGACAATGAGGGTACAGGGCAAACAAGATGCTATTCCTATCTTCAGGTCATTGTCTAGTAGGGAGAGACCTATAGAGATCAAATACAGTCTTCTCACACTGTGTGTGCACCAAGGGCAGAGGAAACGTTCCAGGGGGGAGAGGGAGAGGCCACAGAAGCAGAGCTAACATGCAAAGCCAGATGAAGATTTAGGTCTCAAGGAGACCAGGTGCCATGAAACACCTGCCTGTGTTTGCAGATATGTCCTTACACATAGACCTACGCATATGCCCCATATGCCTTGTGCAAGTGCTCTACCTGGGGCCCTGAACCAGTGTACAATGCTAGTTGTAGCAATGGGAGGTGGCTAGCTCTGGCTCTTAGGCTCCTCCTCTCTGCTTCTTGGGAGAAAGCTTTCCCTGGCCACTTCTCTTGTTTCACCATCCGTGGATATTAATGGGCCTGACTTCCCAGACTCCTGGAAGGCAGCCCCCCTGCTCTGATTCTCTCTGGCTAAGCCTGAGGAAAAGCCGAAGGTTTCTACCTGGCTTTTGTCCATGAGGCAGGTACAGTTCCTGGCCACCACTGATCTTTTTACTGTGTCTATAGTTTTGCCTTTTCCATAAAATCATGTAGCTGGAATCATACAGTGTATAGCCATTTCAGATTGGATTCTTTCTCCATGTCTTTTCGTGACTTGATAGCTCATTTCTTTTTGGCGCTGAATAGTATTTCATTGTCTGGATATACCACATTTTATCCACCCACCGACTGAAGGACATCTTGGTTGCTTCCAAATGTTGGCAATTATGAATAAAGCTGTTCTAAGCATTCATGTTCAGGATTTTGTATGTTTTCAACTCATTTGGGTAAATAGCTAAGAGTATGACTGTTGAATTGTAAGGTAAGACTTTATTTAGCTTTGTAAGAAACTGACAAACAGTCTAACAAAGGGACTGGATCATTTTGCATTCCCACCAGCAGTGAATGAGATTTCCTGTTGTTCCACACCCTCTCCAACATCTGGTGTTGTCAGTGTTTTGTATTGTTGCCATTCTAGTAAGTATGCAGTGGTATTTCATTGTTCTATTTTGCAATTCCCTAATGACATGTGATATTGAGCATCTTTTAATACACTTATTTGCCACCTGTATATCTTATTTGGTGAGGTACCTGTTTGTATCTTTTGCTGGCTTTTTAATTTTCTTATTTGAAAAAAAATTGGGACTTAATTTTTTAAAGAGCAGTTTAAGGTTCAAAACAAAATAGAGAGGAAGGTGGAGGGAGTTCCCATGACTTGGTGCCTCCTCACATACATAGCCTCCCCCGTTAGCAACATTCCCCACCAGACAGTGCATTTGTTACCAAGGATGCGCCTGCTGACGTGTCATAATGACCTAAAGTCTATCATTTACCTTAGGGCTCCTTCTTGGTGGTGTACGTTCTGTGGTTTTGGACAAATGTACAATGACATATATCCATCATTATATGATACAGAGTATTTGAATTGCCCTAATAGTTCTCTGTGCCCTGTCTATTCATCCCTCCCCCTCCCCAACCTCAAGCAACCACTGATCTCTTTAGCGACCATTGTTTTACCTTATTCAGAATGCAACATCATTGGAGTCATAGGGTACATAAACTTTTCAGATTGGCTTCTTTCACTTACCAATATATATTTAAGGTTCTTTCATGGCTTGTCATGGATTAAGAGCTCATTTCTTTTCAGCACCGAATAAAATTTCCATTGTCTGGGTGTTCCACAGTTTATTTATCCATTCATCTTCTGGAGAACATCTTGGTTGCTTCTAAATTTTGGCACTTATGAATAAAGATGTTATAAACGTCTGTGTGTAAGATTTTGTATGAACTTGTTTTCAGCTTCTTTGGGTAAGGAGATAATGGCTGGATCATATGGCAAGAGTATGTTTCATTTTGTAAGAAACCAGTGAACTGTCTATACCATTTTGCATTTCTACTGGTAACGTGTGAGTGTTCCTCTTGTACCACATCCTTGCCAGAATTTGGTATGGTCATTACTCCATATTTTGGCCATTCTGTGAATGTGTAGTGCTATCAAATTGTTTTAATTTGCATTTCCCTAATAATGTGTGATGTGGGACATTTTTTTATATACTTATTTGCAATCTGCATTATCTTCTTTGGTAAGGTGTTTATTAAGGTCTTCGGCCCATTTTTAAGTCAGTTTGTTTTCTTATTTTTGATTTTTATGGAATTCTTTGTAAATTTTAGATAACACTATTTTTTTATCAGATGTGTTTTTTGCAAATATTTTCTGCCATCTGTGGTTCATCTTCTTGTTTTCTTGACCTTGTCTTTCACAGAGCAGAATTTATTAATTTTAGTCATGTCCAGCTGATCCATTATTTCTTTCATGGATCATATCTTTGGTGTTATATTTAAGAAGGATCATCATAAACAAGTCATCTAGGTTTTCTCCTAAGTTATCCCCTAGGAGCTTTATTGTTCTGCATCTCACATTTAGGTCTATGAGGCATTTTGACTTAACTTCTGTGAAGGGTGTAATGTCTGTGTGTATATTCATTTTTGCATGTGGACATCTAGTTGCTCCTGCACCATTTGTTGAAGAGACAATCGTTGCCCCCACTGTTTACCTTTGTTCCTTTATCAGTGATCACTTGACTGTATTTCCAGGGGTCTATTTCTGAGCTCTGTATTCTGTTCTGTTGCTCTATTTGTCTGTTCTTCACTGATACAATACTGTCTTGATCACTGTAACTTTATAGTGAGTCTTAAAGTTGGGTGGCATTGGTCCTCTAACTTTGTTCTTCTCCTTCTGTATCAAAATGTTGGCTATTCTGGGTCTTTTCCTTCTTCGTATAAACTTCAGAATCATTTTGCTGATATCCATAAAATAACTTGAGATTTTGATTGGGATTGCACTGAATCTATAGGTCAAGTTGGGAAGAACTGATACCTTGATCATACCTGGTATTAACTCTTCCTGTTCATGAACATGGAACATTTGTCTTTATTTAGTTCTTTGATTTCATTCATCAGAGTTTCAGTTTTCTATATGTAGATCTTATAGATATTTTGGTAGATTTATACTTAAAAATTTCATTTTGTGGAGAGCTAGTAAAAATGATACTGTGTTTTTTATTCCAAATTTCACTTATTCATTGTTGATAAATAGGAAAGTAATTGAGTTTTGTGTATTAACCTTGTATCCTGCAACCTTGCTAGAATCACTTTTAGTGCCAGGAGGGTTTTTTTTTTTATTCTTTTGGGTTTTCCACATAGATTATCACATCATCCGTGAACAAAGCCAATTTTATATCTTCCTTTCCAGTCTGTATACATTTTATTTCCTTTTCTTGACTTAGTGCATTGGTAAGGATTTCTAACATGATGTTGAAAGGAGTGATGAGAGGTGACATCCTCGCCTCGTAGACCTGATCTGAATGGGAAAACTTCAAGTTTCTCATCATTAAGTATGAGGTGAACTGTAGGTTTTTAGAAGATAGTCTTTATCAAGTTGAGAAAGTCTCCCTCTATTCCTAGTTTACTGAGAGTTTTTATGATGAATGAGTGTTAGATTTTGTCAAATACTTTTTGCATCTATTGATAACTATCAAGTGACTTTTCTTTTTTAATCTGTTGTTGTGATTATTAAATGATTTTCAAATGTTGGACCAGCCTTGAATATCTGAGATAGATCCCACTTGGCTATGGTATATAATTCTTTTTATACTTTGTGGAATTTTATATGCTAATATTTTGTTCAGAATTTTTGCATCTATGTTCGTGAGAAATATTGGTCCATAGTTTTCTTCTCTTGTAATGCCTTGTCTGGTGTTGTTATTAGGGTAATGGTGACCTCATAAAATGAGTTGGGAAGTACTTCCTTTGCTTCTATCCTTTGGAAGAGATTGTTGACAACTGGTATAATTTCTTCCTTTAAGCGTTTGGTAGAATCCATCAATGAACCCATCTGGGCCTGGTGCTTTCTATTTTGGAAGGCAGTTAATTTATGAATCCATCTCTTTAATAGTTAGAAGCCTATTTAGATTGTCTATTTCTTCTTGTCTGAATTTTTGGCAGATTTGTCCTTCCAAGGAATTGGTCCATTTCATGTAAGTTATTGGATTTGTGGGCCTAGGGTTGTTCATAGTGTTCTTTTATTATCCTTTACAAGTTCATGAAATCAGTAGTGATGTCCCCTCTTTCATTTCTTATATTAGTATTTTGTGTTTTCCCTCTTTTTTCTTAGCCTAAGTAGAGGCTTATCAATTTTAATGATCTTTTCAAAGAAACAGTTGCATTGGTTTTGTTGATATTCTTTATGTATTTTCTGTTTTCAATTTCATTTATTTCTGCTTTAATTCATTTTTTAAAAAATTGTTTTTTGAGAGGGAAAGGGATGGAGGAAGGGGCAGAGGGAAAGG